GAGGAGCCATTCCCTTCTTTTTACAAGAGAACCCAAAGCTGTCTTTATCTCTGAGTAACAGGATTTGCCAAGTATTTTAGCAGCTTGTTCACACTGCTATGGCTGAGCTTGCATCAGCAATTTTTTTTATTATTATACATGCCTTTCTTCAGACAGGTTTATTTCTCAGCTAAGGGTGGACAGAAATAATTTTGGACTAAATCTTAGTGCAAAGATAGGCATCATTTCTGGGGTTATTTTATCCCTAGTGCACTTGTCTGCGAAGAGCAAAGTAACTGTGGTTTGCTGTTGCTGTTCTTGTTTGTTTTTTAAACTCACAGGAAGAGACTGGATCTCTCTACAGTCTTTCTCTCCCCATGTCTCCAGCCAGCGATCTGTGGCTGTCACCAGGCTGTCACACAGCTCTACCCCCCCTCCCGAAAAAGCATTTTGGGACCCCATGCCAGTTTTCTGCCCCTAGCTTCAGCCGCATTCCTTTCTAGCAGTGGAGGCCTGAACTTTATCCCCCAGGTATTGATATTGGGGTGGGGTTGAGATCCAACCCTCTAACAACATACGGTAACAAACCTATCCTATTAAAGGTTTAAGCCAGGGGTAGGAAACCTGGCAGCCTCCTGCTGCTGGTAGACTCTAACTCCCATCAGCCCCTGCCAGCATAACCACTGGTCAGGAATGATGGGAGTTGTAGTCCAACAACATCCAGAAACCGCCTTGTCATGTGATTTCCCTGACCAACCTGCACATTACACAGAATGAGGTGGTAGCCTGAGGCAGTAGAATTCTGGACTGCACCACCTAAAAAAACTGTAGGTGGGAGTTTGCATTTTTTAAAAAATGCACACTTATTTACTCTACCATGTTATATATGTCTGCACGGAAGTAAGCCTTATTGAGGTCAGTGGGGCTCATTTTCAGGTGAGTATGGGACTGCGCCCTTAAAAAAAAATCCTGACATATAGTAAATATCAGGGAAAATGTTATGAATACTAAATTAAACATACTATTAATAATTTTTTTTTATTTGTACCTCACCCATCTGACTGGACTGCCCCAGCCACCTTCCAAAAGGTGGTGGTGGTTGTTACTTATCCCGCTTTTCCCAGGGTATCCAACCATGATCTACTATATATTTTGCAAGTTTGTTTGTCTGTTCCCTATGCATTTAGGCAACTCTTAAGATACTTGTAACCAAATTTTGCATAATGGTTCCTGAGATCAAGAGCAGGTTTCTGTCTTAAGTTTGGATACAAATGGACCCCATTTTGAATGAAGATGACAGGCTGAACCTTTCAAAACAGTACTGATTTGGGGCGTGTTGGGGGTTTCTTAGTTTTCCAAGCAATGTTGGGCATGTGGCTGCTAGTTATAAATAAAATGATATAATCACACCATTATAAACTTTCAGACCACTCAAAACAATTCAGAACACACACAGGGAGATTCAAACATAAGACATCTCATCTGTTCATCCCCGAATTCTACCACTCCAGTCTATCCCCTCATTCTACTTCAGGCATAGATTGGCTCTCACATGTTACCCAAAGTGCTGTAGGGTGACCCAGTGCTGTTGACAACAGCTGGACTTTAGCACATCACTTGTACCTGTTGTGCTAGATAGGAGTTTCCAGTGTGCTACAAAGTGTGCTAGCTGGCCACTGTGAATTAAATTTACCTAACATTCCTTCTGATATTTGCCAGCCAGCCATATCTACATAGTTGGCCCATTGCTAACTGTCTTAGAAAATGGATCTCTCAATGAGTACCAAGCTCTTGGAACTCTGATCATTTCACTTGCATGTTGGTTGTGAGTTACTGTATGACAAAAAAAAAAAAATGCACACATTTATGGCATCCAAATATGAAAATGTGATTCCTAGGCTACAGAGAAATGCATACTTTATAATCTGAAGAGCTCAAAATTCTTTTTGAAAGATGAGCCATTTTTAGAGGTCCTCTTGCCCTCATTACAAGGAATGCTGGTGGCGCTTTGGGTTAAACCACAGACCCTAGGACTTGCCGATCAGAAGGTTGGCGGTTCATAGAATCATAGAGTTCAAATCCCCGCAACAGCGTGAGCTCCTGTTGCTCGGTCCCTGCTCCTGGCAACCTAGCAGTTTGAAAGCACGTCAAAGTGCAAGTAGATAAATAGGTACCGCTCTGGCGGGAAGGTAAACGGCATTTCCGTGCGCTTCTCTGATTCACCAGAAGCGGCTTAGTCATGCTGACCACATGACCCGGAAGCTGTACGTCGGCTCCTTCGGCCAATAAAGCGAGATGAGCGCCCCAACCCCAGAGTCGGTCACGACTGGACCTAATGGTCAGGGGTCCCCTTTACCTTTACTTGCCCTCATTAGTTACCGTATTTTTTGCTCTATAAGACTCACTTTTTCCCTCCTAAAAAGTAAGGGGAAATGTGTGTGCGTCTTATGGAGCGAATGCAGGCAGCACAGCTATCCCAGAAGCCAGAACAGCAAGAGGGATTGCTGCTTTCCCTCTTGCTGTTCTGGCTTCTGAGATTCAGATTTTTTTTTTTCTTGTTTTCCTCCTCCAAAAACTAGGTGCATCTTTTGGTCTGGTGCGTCATAGAGCGAAAAATACGGTATACTCTGATGTCTTGTAAGGGGCATCATGCAAGTTGTTACAGCAAAGAGTCACGTGGCAGCATAAAATGAATGCACATCCCATGACATGAGCTTTCATTCAGCTTTTCACTCACTCAGTCTTGATGCCAAACATAGGAAGCTGCCTTACACCAAGTCAGAGTAATGATCCCTCTCTCCACACTGACTGGCAGTAGCTCTACAGAGTTTCAGGCAGACGTCTCTCTCAGCCCTACCAGTGACCGAATGCCAGGGATTGAACCTGAGACCTTCTGCATGCAAAGCCAGTACTTTGATTTGGGCCCAGAAACTAATTGGCAGCCAGTACAGTCTGGCCAGGATTAGTGTAATATGCTCTTCGAGACTGTGAGCAACCTGGCTGCTGAATTCTGCACCAGCTGAAGTTTCCTAACCATCTTCAGAGGCAGCGTTGCATTAATTTAACACACATGGCTTCCCCCAAAGAACCCTGGGAATGCTAGTTTCCCCATCACAAGCACTACAATCCCCAGCACCTTTAGCAAACTGAAGTTCCCAGGATCCTTTGGAGGAAGGCTTGTGTTTTAAAGGTGTGTTGAATATGTACTTTAAATGTATGGTGTGGGGGGTTTTTTGTGGGGGAAGAAAGATACAGGACCTGCAGTCAGTTAAAGGGTGCCTTTCCAAGGAGCAAAAGCAACAGCTAGAGGTGAGTAGGATCAAGTCTTTTATAAGGACAAGTGCAACTGGATCCACAGGGGGACAGGTCACTAGTGCAATATTTATCTCCCCCCTCCCGTTTCTTCCGCACTTGTCCTTTTTTTTATTACTGAAAGGGCCATGCCTGTTGGCTCGTCACAACTGAACCTCTTTCGGGCCTGCTTTCCCCCTCCCCTCCCTTGCAAACGAAACCCAGCCGACGGAGGTTGCCCATCCGAAGAGCCTCGCTTGCTACTGCTGCAATAGCCCTAGCCCCATATCCATTTCCCAGAAGGTAGGGACGCGGGTGGCGCTGTGGGTTAAACCACCGAGTCTAGGACTTGCCAATCAGAAGGTCAGCGGTTCGAATCCCCATGACGGGGTGAGCTCCCGTTGCTCAGTCCCAGCTCCTGCCAACCTAGCAGTTCAAAAGCACGCCCCCAAAAGTGCAAGTAGATAAATAGGTACCGCTCCGGCGGGAAGGTAAACGGTGTTTCCATGCGCTGCTCTGGTTCACCAGAAGCGGCTTAGTCATGCTGGCCACATGACCTGGAAGCTGTACGCTGGCTCCCTCGGCCAATAAAGCGAGATGAGTGCCGCAACCCCATAGTTGCTCACGACTGGACCTAATGGTCCCTTTACCTAAGCTCAAGGGAACTGACTTCTGAGAAGACAAGGATAGGATGTATAGGAGCCATGTTGCTCTAAGACACGCACAGGCTCGCTCACTCCAGCTCAGTCCCGATGGAAACCAGCTTTATTAACATAAACTAAGAGGTGCCAAAAAAAAAATATCACTTTGCAGAGGATCCCCAGTTTCCGGGCATGGTCAGCTCTTGCAAACCGCTCTCATCACTTATCATCTATTAACTGTCCCTTCTTGACGCCGGGGGTGAGCGCTTGGAGCACCAGGAGCGGCTTAAGAAAGCCTCGTCCGCCGCTTACAAATAAGGACCTTATCGCAGCTCTACCGGCGAGGAGCCCATCTCCCTCTGTCGGTTCCTTGGAGAAGCACCTTCCGAAGGGGAAAAGCTCTGGGCGCGTTTGCCTTTAAGAGGCGGGGCGCCGAGCCTGGGGAGGAGGGCGGGGCTGAAAGGCAAACGCCGCCTGCGATTGGGTAGCAGGCCCTGTCGCTCCCGCGCCTCCTCCCTCCCTCTGCAACCTCCCCCGCCCGCCCTCGCCTCTTCCCTTACGGCTCCCTCCGCCCCCTCCCCTCGCTCTGCGCCGCTCGCGCCCCGCCCGCTGGAAAGGGCAGCACCAGTCTAGCGCTGACGTCACCCCGTCTGTCTGCTCTCCCCCCTCCTCTTTCCCCTATGAAACTGGATCTCCTTGGACTTGAATGAGGAGCAAAGGGCGGGGGCGGGGGGGTTGGAGGAGGAGGAGGAGCAGCAGGAGGAGGAGGAGTGCGGGGGGGGGAGAAGAAGAGGAGGAGGAGGAGGAGGAGGAGGGAGTTACTAAGATCTTGCCTGGGCAGGCGAGAGAAAGAGGGAGGCACACACCGAGAGAAACAAAGTAGCAAGTCCCTTTCCCACCCGGCTCTGTCCGCGAACTTCTGGGGCTGGGGGGCAATGGAGGGGAGGGGGCTAGCCGCGGAGCTGAGAGCTGAGATCTCCTCTCTCTAGTGCTCCTCATTTCCCCCCTAAACTTGAATCCCTCCCCCCCCCCCGCACCCTGCGAAATTTATTTTTGGAGGGTGCGTGTCCCCCACCCCACCCCCATTCCTTCCTTCCTCTCCAAAGGGTTTTTTTTTTATAAAATCAATTATATTTGCCCCCCTCCCATTCCTCCCCTCCCCACTACTCTTCTTCTTCTTCCGCCGCCGAACCCCTCGAAGGAAGATCCCGTCTTTATGTTGTGCTGCCCGGAGAGACCCCTGAAGTCTTCCCGTCCTTTGTTTCTCCGCTTCTTTTTTAAATGTATAACTTGATGGGTCTCAACAGCACAACCGGAGCCAGCCAGCCCAATGTCTCCTGTACATGCAACTGCAAACGGTCTTTGTTTCAGAGTATGGAGATCAGTAAGTACTTCTTTCCCATTCTGTATCTCTTTCTGTATTTGCATGTGTGCAAAACTCTCCCTTCTGTCGCCTTGTTTGGGGCCGGAGAGAGAAACGGCGTCTCGGGCTCTCCTCGCTCGCCTTTGCTGGGTTCCCAAACGCGGCGCCTTCTCTGGGCTTTGGGCGATTATTTCATTTCGCGCTGCAAAAAAAATCGAAGGGTTGGGTTGTTGTGTTTTTTGAAAACAAGATATTTTAAGACTTGCGGGTATGTTCTGTTTCCCCACTTAGTGTGTGTGTTCGGGTGCCCCAAAGTTTTATTTTCCTTTATTCAATTGCAAAAAAAAGGAAAAGAAATCCCCCCCCCCGTAACGTGCCCCCCTGCACAATTTTCCAGCTTCCCAAAAATGCGATTTGGAGACCCTCTCCCAGGGACCTCAAAAGAGTTGCTTTCTCGAGTCCCGGAGTTCGCTGGCTTTTGGCTTCTTTTCTCCCGGATCTGAACTTCAACTCGACATCTTTTCCTCCCGTCTTAACGTTGCCCTTCTCCTTTGGCCGGCGGCGGGGCGGGACGGTGCGCGGCTCCAGGGGAGGGGAAGGGGACGCCGGCTGGATGGGGTGAGGCGGGAGGTGGGCGGCGAGAGACCCGAAAGGAGACCCGGGGGGGAGTCGTTGCAATATTGATCCGCGCGTTCCGCGTGCGTAAAGCCCACCTCCGGAGTGGTGCGGGCGGCGGAGCAGCCTCTTCTCCGGCTTTGGCGAGGGCGGCGCGGCCGGGTCTCCCCTTCGGAGAGAGGCGAAGGGGGCCGGGGAGGAGCGAAGTGGCCGCGCGATCCCAGCCAGTGAGCTCCATCGCCCCTAGGAGCTTTTGTCTGCTTCCTAAGCCAGACGGTGAAACAGCCTGTTCAGGCTATTTAAAGCACATGCTCGGCTGGAGAATCCAGCGAGCAACCCCGGGAGCCCTTTCCTCCCAGAACAACACACCGACGCGCTCCGCTTTCTTATGACCGCCGTGGCTGCCCTGCGGTTTATTGCCCTGCTGCAATCCGCTGCAGATCGGGACCCCTTTTCTCTCCCCCCCACAAGCAATCACACACACGCTCCTCACATCCCCGATTCTCTTCTCCAACCCCCCTAAGCTTTGAGCCCGTTTCCTTCCTCCGGTTGCATTTGTGCATTTGGCACCCGCCTTTTGCAACGATTCGGAAGGCTCTTTCGGGAGACCCTTTGAAAAGGAAGGAAGGAAAAACAAGATTAGACCGTATCATAATGGAGGGCCGGTCAAAGCGGCTGAGCATTGTGGCTAAATAGAGCTTCCGTGTCGAGTAGCAGTCTACCTCTGGCTACCAGGTGCTTGTGTTCTGCATGCGAGTTTGCCAGAGAGAGGGTAACTGTACGTGGTTGGAAACAGAATACTGGGGAAGGGGGGTGTTGTTTAAGATGGACCTTTTTGGTCTGATCCAGCAGGACGCAGAACTCTCATATACCGGTTCCGGCTCCAAAATGTTTAATCGGCTGCTGTGATGCCTTTTGAACCACAGCAGAGGACGGTGGTGAATTAGCAACGGTGCAGCGGCACACCCCACCATGAAATTACAGGATAATAGTTCAGCAATTAAGTTGTCTCATCACCTAGTCCTGTGTGTGTGTGTGTGTGTGTGTGTGTGTGTGTGTGTGTCTGTCTGTGTGGTAAGAATGCAAATGTTATGTCCAGCGAACTAGAATTTGTGCCTATAAATAGTAATCGCTAGGTCTGAGAAGTAGATTACAGCTCTGTCTAGCCTTTAGAAAGGGTAAGTCAGACAAAGTTGCCTCCCCCCCCCACTCCCTGAGTGTCTCTGTCTATAAAGTGCCTATAAAGCTGGCTAACTAAATGTGTTGTCTAAGAACTTGTGATACCAAATGAAATAGCATGATTTCTGCCCCTGTATTTATGGACTAGGTACCTTAAAGTATCTCACAGAGAGAGAGAGAGATGGCAGTTTTCAAAAGAATCTTTTTATTACGTGCCTGGGTGGGAGAAACCAACTAAATCACTAAGCAGTAAAATACAGTCTGGGATTGTCCTTACCATTCTACAATGTTACACTCAAGAGCTAAACTCTAATGTTGGGAGACGCCGGGGTCCGGAATATTTTTGACAGTTCCACTTTTGTGATGATTACCACCTCCCCCTCTGTTGTTGTTGTTTTTTGGCAAGTGTTTGTTTTTTAAAAAAAATATATTGCAGAACTTGTTCAAAAGATCCAAGCAGCACATAATCCTGATATCCTCATTACTGGTGAATGTGCCTGTGCCCTTGGTGGTAAGCTAGCTAGACTCCTAGACAGAGCAGGTTCATTTTCCTAATAATAATTGTGGGAGTGGTCTTTCTCCTCCTATTGGAGGTGTAGGCTGAAACGGTTTCCGTAAATTAAAAAGATCAATGTCCATAGAAAATTTGATTATCTCTCTTAATACCACAGCAATTAAGATGGATTCTCCACCGCCCACCTCCCAAATCTCATTCCTGATCTTTAAACTGGGGGTTTGGACTATTCACCTGCTGGAAAATTCCCAGCTCATAAAAAGATATGTGTGGGACTTAAGTCTACTGTGTAACAGGATGCCAGATCCCCATGTCCCTCAATGCATGGTTTCTTCTTCTTTCTGTCTCAAATTCATCACTTTTATTTTCAGTCCCTTACTCTCTCAGCTAATCAGCCATAATGATGTTTTGGCTGACATGGAGGCAGTCTTGTTAATTTAGTTGTCTGCTGCTCCAAATAGAGTTCATTTCTCACCTCTGAAGTAGTGATACTCAGAGCAATTTGACCTGCAAGGGTTAGCATCAGTACTAACTGCATTCAAAATACAAAATATATACATTCTTTAGTTCTTTAGAGGCCAAAGTGAAACGAGGAAGGGAATATCCCAGGAAACTTATTTTGATGGGCAGTTTCTTTAAAAACGTTTTGTAGGAATTAAATCACCTGTGACATTTTCTCCTTTTTGTTGTTTGTCACTAACCCTAGTCTGGCTCAAAAGGAAAAGTCTTATTTTAAAAACTTATCATGTTCTATCTAGATATTCAGACTGTTCAGAAACCCGACAGTTCTATGTGTTATGGATTTATTTATTTTTTAGGGCTAGAATCTGCTTTAATTTTAAACTGTATGGGACTTTGCCTCTGGGAGTTATTGGCAAAATATAAGTGGGCTGCAATTTGCACATACTGTATTCCATGCTTGCTTGGGAGTAAGCCCCATCAAAATCATTTGGACCTACTTCCAAGTATCTTGCATCAATCTTAAAATCTTGTAAAGCATGTTACAGTGGTCAGGCTATGGTCTTCCTAACAAAGCAAATTTCCATTTTTATAACAAAACATACAGCTGTATGGAAGGTAATGGGACCACTACCTATTAACGCCAATATATTAGAATACCTGGCTTTTTCTGCTATTTCTGGGCCCCTAACAGCAGCATATACTACTTAAGAGTTTAACTGATTAGGTCTGAAAATTCTTCAGCTATATTTTGCTATTTTGAGAAACCTGGCATGCTTCTCTGCACTTGGAACTCAAACAGGACTTAAACATTGATTCCATATAAAACCAAACATTCATATATTTTAGTACAAAGCTGATTTGCCTGGTTATCCTAACATTATTATTACTGAATCTAATCTATCTTGATTTGAGCAAACTCCATACTGCAGATAATATGGGTAGTTTTTTGTGATTCTCTCATTTGACACAAAAAATGAATGGACTACCAAACCCATCTTCCCCACCCTACATCTGAGAAAGTAAAACTTTTTTTTTCACTTGATAGGCACTGGAAAAAGTAAAGAAATTGGTATAACAAAAAAAGGGGAGGGATAAGTATCTGCTCTCAACATTCTGCTGGAAGAGAAAGTCTCCTATGACACACAGGAAAAGTTTCCTGTTTGGAACAATTTGTTCTCTTTCAAATGATTCCTTGGCACTTTGAAGATAGAGCTCAGTTTACAATGTTATTCAATATATGAATTTTCAATATTCCTTTTGCTTTTTGTAGTGGTGAATTAGTCTGTGGGTAAACAGCTATGAATAATGAGGTAGGGATCCGTTAAGGAGTGTCTGCTTTACTCAACAGTACTATGCACTTACTTGAGAGTAAGCCCTTTGAATAACTAGCGGGACCTGTGGGGAATAAAAGTTCATAGAGTTGAGCTGCACATTGGCTCTCTTAAGAAGAGTGCAACCACTTACTCGCAAGTGAGCCTCATTGACTTCAATGGGACATACTCCCAGGTAACTATGAACAAGAAGCACTGCCTGCTTCTAACACAGCTTGCTAAATCACAATGACGTTATCATCTGATATTGTGGAACCCAAGCTATTAAAAACTTTTAACTCTTCTTGAACTAGTGATTAATGTGATATGTCTCTTTAGGGACTGAAATACCTACCCCAGGAGAGGATTTTTGTACCTGTAGTCTTCCACCTGTTCAATGTTTGAATGCATGTAGTCATTTTTCTTTTACCCCAGATCAATTAATCTAAAATACTCCTACACCCAGGTTTCTTATCCCACCTCGAAGGAGAATTAAAACCCCTTTCCCACTCTTAGGCATTCATTCGAAAGAGTAGTGAAAAGGCTATTTGATTCCTTGTAAAGCTAAGAGCCCAAGTGTGTTAAGAGGTAACTGAGCCACGCTGAATAATCCTGGGCATGAATTATCTAGCTGCAAGCACATTTCGATGAGATGCTGACCTGTAATTCTGCAAACTGATGGAAGGTGGAGGATTCCACAATGGGAAATGAAATACTCTTTTTAAAATGCTCATCTTTACTGTATATGCATGTTAATCCACACTTAGGTTAATTTTGAAGATTTGGGGGGATCTTTGCCTACAAGATCTGATTTGAAATAGAGGAGGAACTCGGTTCCTGCACTTCAGCCCTGGATTAGGATTACAGAGTGTCTGTTTTCTGCCTTCCTCTCTCTCCTCTCCCCCCCCCCGCTCCCCCTCTTCCAAGTTCAAAGTCTTGACTATTCTGACCCACCGTAGCAACCATTCACCGTGACACTCTCTTTGAGACAGCCAGACATCCCCGATGTGGTCCTAATCAGTCAGACGGAGTGAAATGAGGTCAAGGGAGATCGCACTGTTGGCTGCGTTTTGTAAATAACAAATCATTCGGATCGGCAGAGTAATGTCGCACTCTTCATTCATCTGCTGCGATCATTTCTATAAAACAGTTAATTCTGCTTGGTGTTGTCAATGGGTTTGTTTTCCCGGGGGTTAAAGAAGCGTGTGTGTTGTTGAAAGGTAGTTTGTGAGGCCTGGGTAAAGCAGAGCTGCAAATCCGTAACAATTTAGCCTTCCTGCATTCTGCCTCGGTTTCTCTGGGCGGTATTGGAGACTTCTGACCTTTTTAAGTTCATCAGGTTTTGGTAACAGGTGGTCCTGTCTGTCTGGGTACCCCAATGTGATGTTGTCTAAGGATACTGGGGGATGGGGAGGCATCCTATACTCTTTATGTGCTGCTGTAATGTTTGCAGGCGTAAATTCAGAAGAATTAAATGACAGTGCTCATGGTATAAAGCAGGGATGAAGGAACCTTTGGCTCTGCAGATACTGGACTCCATCTCCCATCAGCCCCTGCCAGCTTGGCCAATTGCCAGGGGTGATGGGAGTTGTAGTTGAGCAACATCCAAAGGACCACAGCTTCCCCACCCCTGGCATAAATGAACTAACCGTATCCCCAACTGTTGTCTCCATTCATACTTTCCCCATTTCATTATAGCTGCTTGCCTTTAGTAACTTAGGGATATTACACTAGAAGCATACAGCCAAATAACTGGATGACTGGTCCAAAACAGAAGTGAAATTCAGTTTTGCCCTTTGCCTTCCGCATCCCAAAAGTACTTGCACTCCCTTGCGTTTTGGCCTCATCAGGGTTGCCAGGACACCATGCCACAGTGATAGGAGATGCTCAAATGGTACAATTTCCTTCTCAGGTCTAGACAGGAGACCTGCTATGTTCCCCACAGTCCTCGGCCTCTTTTTGCCTACTCACATCCTTCATATAAGTAATATACACAGCTCCAATTCTATTTTCATCTGAGCTCTTCCTTTTTTAAGTTCCATGTTACCGCCACTCCTTGCTTTCTCTGGTTCCTGCTTTTCAAAGCATTCTTTCCATTGTCCAATTTCCTTTAGCTGCTCTGTCTCTTACCCAGCCTCCCTAACACTCCTCTTCCTCTCTTGCTCACAATATAAGGCCCCTCCTGACTGTAAGCATTCTGACATCCCTTCAGAGCTCCCTCTCTGCCTCCCCCTTTAAAAGTCCCGTTTCTCCTCTATTCTGCAGACTTCCTTCTTCATTGACCCTCCTTTCTCATCTCTGACCTCTATCTCCCTTGGCTTTTCTGTGTCCTGGGACCTCTTCCCGGTCTTCTACCCCACGAGGTTTTAACCTAAAATGACAATGTTCCCTTCTCTCACAGAAGCTGGAGTACAACTGGTTCAGTTTCAAGAGCAACTGAACATGCCATGTAGCTTCACCAGCTCAGCCTTTTGGTGCTGGAAGCTTCACCACCACAAACACAATAGAATATAAATAGTTTCTCTTAATAGAGTAGGGAGAATACAATCTCTAACATTGTTGTCTTGTTGACTCTTTCCAAAATCTCAGGAAGCAAACCATATACAGTATATATATATATATAGCAGATAGCAATTCTATTCTGACAACCATTCTGCATTTAGTGAATGCATGAGGGTCAATCCCAATAGCTTGATTTAATTAAAGAGGAGGATCCAGGGCTCAGTTCCCTGACATGTGGACATGGGTGGTGATGCATGTTTAGAAGTACATGTTGATTGTGTTCACACACTAGGGAGTTATTTTAAATGGAGCCTGAATAAGCAGTTCATGTAATTCATTGGCCTCATTTAGACATAACTGTGGCTTAGCAATACATGAATAAGCCACCTTCTCCTGATATGGCCGTGAGAGGGAGATCAGAAACTTCCGTTTTAACTAACTGCAGTTTAGTGTTACAACTGAACCTAGGCAAACTGTGGTTAGTCTTGGCTTTAGTTTAGTCAAACAACCAAACTTCAAACCGTAGTTTATGAAGCTGGCTTGTTTCAATAAACTGGGTGTGGTTAATATGTGCCTTTCCAAAAGGTATTGGACCACAGCTCTCATCATCTCTAACCATTGGTCACGCCTAACTATAGTTTAGGCCATACTGGATCACAGCCTCAGATGCAGTGCTAAAGTTCGGCCAATTGAAAGTGGAAGCGAAAGCTTCCTATCTCTGTCTCTGTAGCCACACAGATGGAAAGAAGGGGGGGGGGAGTGCCCTCTGTTCATTCAGTTAGGCTAAACCATAGTTTAGCATTATGTCATAACAAGGCCAGTGACATTACTGGGTTACGTGAACTGCTTTGGCATTTAGCGTTGTGTCCAAATTAGGCTATTGTGTTTCAGAGCAAAGCCTTACAGCTTCTCAAGGTCTTTTCTGAGCCCTGACTACATACATAGAGTTGTGCTTAGGGTATTCTGTGTTGCTTGTAATATCCTGAGATAGCTGTTCTGGAGCAGATGCACATCAGCAGCTTTTCTGTGGCCAAATATTAATTTCTTCCTCAAGACCTCAAGCAATGTCTTTATACCTTTGCACTCTCTCTCTTCAACTGTGCTTGCTGTTTTGATTAGCAGGAAGTTGAAGGATTGCTAACCTGAGGGACCTGTCTAGGTGAATAGGCCCAGGGTGCTTTTTAGAGAGAGCACCGTACATTAAATTCCCCTTGATACACATGTGCCTATAGTGGTAGATCTTCAGTGGGTTCCTGAACATATATGTAGTATATATTGAAGAGACTCATGAATTGCTAGCTAGTTGATAGCAGTTCAGGCTCCACTGAAATCTGTGGGGATCTGCTATGGGCTACAATGGGGTCAGAAACAAATCCCATACCAGATATTAGCAGTGTGGAAGTAAAAAACAAGTCAATATTGCTGAAAACAACTGTATCAAAGAACAGCCTGTGCCACAAATACTCATTCAGGCAAAAAGAAGAAGAAATCCTTATTACAGATTTTCAACTTCTAGGATGAGATTGATCTGCAGCAGACCGATAGTACAACTTTCAGTCTTTGATTTGTCTCCTAACTTGCTTAAAGCGTTCCAAATTTAAATCCTGCTCATTGGACTTGGACTAAGTCATTTCTGGAAATGAGACACTGGGCCAGAGACACTGGGATTGATTCTGATGGGCTTTTGTGGGACAGCTCAGAACAACCAAAGAGGAATACAGCCATTTATCGGGGTGGGCGATACCCAAATTTGCATATACATGGGGGAACTGGTGCTGCCATGCTCTGTATGCATCAGAGATTAGGAATAGCACATAGCAGGGACGTGTCGAAATGCTTTTCACTGCAGTCGACAGTACATCTGACCAGCATCACGCATGGTCACGAGTACAGCCTGGTAGGTTATCAGTTGTTGGGCAAATGGTAAGCTATACTTCTTATCCAAGTTGTGGTTTTAGATAGGGATAGGGTTGTCTCAAAAGATTAACCCAACAGTGAAATAGTTGTGCTTTGGAATAACCCACTGATTTAGAGCTGGAAATGAAGCCAAGTTAGTTTATCGGACTGAGGCTGAGCTTAGTAACCGACCACCACCATCAAAGTTCTTGGTTTTCTTTCTATCTCTTTGTTCAGTGTTCTGTCCCTATTTTGTTCTGGTTGTGCTTCTCTGAAAGGCACATGTACCTCTGGCCTTCAGAATGGAACATAGCCTGACTTGGTATATATTTATCCATTTAGCCTATTATTGTCTATCTTGACCAGCAACAGCTCCAGCGCCTTCCTTTCATGCTACCTGGTGTACCTGTTACCGGGTTCCTTCCTGTTCCAAGAATCTTCTGAGTTCCTTCTGCCCTGCTTGACCATTGCATAATTTTTCACCTACATCAGGAGCACAACTCCCTTTTGGTTCACCTGCATCAGAATTCAGGGTCAGTTCCCACTTCTGTCATAAAAAGGAATCCCATTCCCTTGCAGTATTGCCGGGGCACCTTGTGCTTTGTTTCTATGGCTTCTCAAGGGCGGTAGTTTGTATGTTGCTGTTACTGATGTTACATTGTGCAGCACTCACACATATTTCGGCATGCAACCTCGTCGCTTGATGATTGCAACAAGTAGGGACGGCTTACATGTGTAGACATCTGTCAGTGACGAAACATGACAAGCTGAGCATCCGTACATCACCTCGGGCCAAACGCCTTTCCAGTAGAGGCATCTTGCATAGTTAACTGCAGTGTATAGCACTGAGTAATCAAAAGGCATCAGGAAGCATGCACTTCTGTCAACCAATCAACTTTTATCACACAGTTAAGAGACCTTCTAGGTACATGTATGTGTGAGTCAAGCCTAAGGCTACTTTGGTTGAAAATGGTTTGGATAGCTCTTTGATTAGTACTTTGGTTCTAAACACCTTTATATGCATTTCCCATGACACACTGTAAAGTTAAGGTGTTAGTATGAGTGTGCCTGCAGATTTGCAGAATGTATGATTGATAAAGAATGGTAATGCAGGTTTTTGTAATTACCCCAGTCTGCCTTCTAGGTTGATACCCTTTTGAACATTGTGATGTTTACATAAGAACAGGACCTGGGCACAAGATCATTCTCCCCTCCTAGGTTTTCCAGCAACTGGTACAGGCAGCGACTGTTTTAGGCGTGTCCGATGTGTGTACAACTGCTCACACGCTCATCACACCAAACCCAGAAGTGACCCGGAAACATCCCAAAAATGGGCGGAGCAAGGTGGGGTGGAATGGGGTGTTTGCAGGCTTTTTCAGTGGTGTTTTAAATATACACAAATATATATTTGTATAATGGCATTACGGTATCCGCAGTTTAATTTATTGGTAGCGTTCTATGGGGGGGGAGGGGGGAGTGTATTCAGCCCTGTCCCCCTGTCACTATCACCTTCTATGAATGTCTGGACTGGGGTGGGGGGTGAAAGTCTGAAGCAGGGGACGTCTTGTACTCCTGGTGGGACCCTGCACGTTTTGGATCTCTGGAAGATCCGTTTTCAAAATCACACAGGAGCCTCCACGTAAATGAGGCTCCCTGTTTCAGAAACTTCTTCAACTTGCGGAGGTTCACGGAAACAGAAGTTTAGCAAAGTCATCCCCGCTTTCCTCTATATGACTCATGTAGGGAATGGATGCTTGAAGAGGTCTACTGTCTGCTATGAACATTAAGTGTAATGGTTGCTTGTCATTGTAATTTAGTTTCTTGGACAATGTTATTGGTTGGAATAAGCCTTCTGGGTGTGAATACTGTTAACATTTAGAAGCTAAGACAGCAGTTTACAGGGCAACTTTACAGGTTACAGGTTAAAATTTAGAAGCTAAGACAGCAGCTTACAGGGCAAGTTTTTCCCCCCTTCTCTTTTTAAGGATTGGTTTCCCCCCAGTAATTGCACTTACTTGTGAAATATTCCTTAATAGCACAAGGGCAGAAGTTTTAGGATTCTGTTCCATGGAGTCATCTTGACATTATGCTTTGTGAGCTAAATTGCCTCTGGCCAGGTTGCAGAATTGGTTAACAAGGATTTCTTTTCAGTGGAAAAAGAACCATTGGACTATGTGTGTGCTCACATGAGTTGTGTGTATATTGGGTTTTTCTTTTCTGTTCTGTTTAAAAACAACACTGTGATTTTAACTGGCTTACAGCACAATCTAAACCCAAGATCCACCAGGAAGAGAGAGTTTGAATTTGGAAGTTCTTGGGTTATCATGGTTGAGCCAGGACTAGGTGGGCATAAGTCCCTCAGCCTATAGCCCAGGCCTCAAAACTTGAACCTACAATCACTTGCCATTTCAGCCAGCCGTAGCCTCTCCCAGAGGTTCCTGAACAGAGTTTGGAACAGGGCAAGTTACACCAGTGTAAACCATGCTGGCCTAAGTTACTTTGGCATCTTAATACTAGGATCACTGTGTTAGTTGCTTACATGGCCCTAAGTCACTCTTGCTTTCCACAGAGATAACCGCAGCTGTGGGGCAAGAGAAAACTAGTTCACAGGCGTGAGACAAGGAAGGAGCACACTCAAGACATGTTTCCAGAAACAGCACTTGAATGTTCTATACGGTCTAGGAAGAAATATGTACATGGCCAATATAAGAAGTGTGAAGCATTCCCAGAACAACAGCTAACAGTCGCATTGGTGCGATCTTCTCTGGTCCAACTTATTAAAAAGTTTCCTCTGTGTCATTTTATTTGTGATGGCCAGTTCACAGAGGAAAGTGGTCACTTCATGCTGCAGCCAGCAGGTGATGTGCAAGGTGCAACAGGAGTGTTACCTTGCTGAAAGGTATCCAAATCTCCTGCAACAACCAAGGGAGCATTTACTGCATGCTGAAAAGTCCCCATCAAGTTGTTCTAAGACTTTGGAACAAGACCCGGTGCGAGGCCTCATATGTATTTAGCATATGGGCAATCGAAATTAGGGGGCTTTTGATTGCAATACCCACTCTTCTCCCTGCTGTTCTCTGGACATGGAAGTTTTGCATTGTTGTCATGAGGAATAAGCATTCGTTTGCCTATCTCTTTATAGAGCCATCCAGGCAAATGGCTGTCCCATCACATCTTGTGGCAGTGAATCCTGCAAGTTAATCACACATTGCACAAAAGCACTTCGTCTCTTTTGCCTTTGGTCATCCATTTCACTGTATGGCCCTTATGCTCTGGTATTGTGAAGGAAGGAAGGAAGGAAGGAAGGAAGGAAGGAAGGAAGGAAGGAAGGAAACCATAAACCCTCTTCCCACTTTCGCTACAATCTACACCATGCCTGATTTTATAAACCTATATAATGCATCTCTGCGCGGGTGGCACTATGGTCTAAACCACAGAGCCTAGGATTTGCCAATCAGAAGGTCGGCGGTTCAAATCCCTGCAACGGAGTGAGCTTCCATTGCTCGGTCCCAGCTCCTGCCCACCTAGCAGTTCAAAAGCACACCAGTGCAAGGAGATGAATAGGTACCGCTCTGGCGGGAAGGTAAATGGCTCTGGTTCGCCAGAAGCGGCTTAGTCATGCCTGCTACATGACCCGGAAAAACTGTCTGCAGACAAACGCCGGCTCCCTCGGCCTATAGAGCGAGATGAGCGCGCAACCCCAGAGTCGTCCACGACTGGACCTAACGGACAGGGGTACCTTTACCTTTATAACGCATCTCTAACCAAACACTCAAAATGCTTTAGCCTTTCTTTGCATAGGGAAGATGCTCCCGCCCCCCTTGATTATCTTGGTTGCCCTCCTCTGCATCCCAGCTGTTTGAGATGGGGCAACCAGAACTGTGTGCCCCTGAATCACTCCAGCAACCCTAGTCAACAGATTTGCTCTGCTACCTCCTGCCCCAACACACACATGATTTCTAGTAATAAATCTGCAGCTCATGAATCAACTCTGATTAGCATTGTGCAAAGAGCATGAGTAATTTCTTTGTTCTCTCCCCCCCCCTTTTCTTTTATAAAACTTTGTGATTGCTGTCTGCAGAAGGCCAAAGGTATGGCCTTATGGAAAGCATGATTCATTTATTGGTTTGTCTGTCGACTAGTTATCTTTCAGTAATTCCAGAAAGCTGCTACTAGCCAAGAATGAATCATACATGGCTGAGTGCACTAACAAACGGGGTCATGATCATCTGCAGAAACTTTTGAAATCTATTTATGGTGCCGGGGAAAGAGGTGGGCGTATGAATGATGATGGAAGAGGTGCCAATTACCCTTACAAATAAACCAGTTAGGTAATGCCAACCGTTACATAAATCTCTTTTTATGCATGTTGGTAGTGATCTCTGGAAGGATAACTTTCAAATGTGATTGTATCTACTTGATGTATCTTTCCAAAGTGCTTTTGATTAATTTCCTTTGTTGGAGAATAGCTAAATTTCTAGCTTCATTGTGCCCACAGGGCCTGAGTCTGCTAACTGAGACCTTCCGTTCATATTCCATACGAAAGACACACATTAACTGTTGGGAACTCAGATATATAAGCTAGTCACCAACTGCCAACTTAAACCTAGCTTACGGTCGCCACAAGGGAATGTCCAGGAGCCATTTTTCCCAGCGAATTTTATTTTTCTTCGTTTCATTTATATGCCAATTTATATCCAGAATAGAACAAATTCGAGCTTCAAGGAAAATATTTCAGATCCTTCTCTAAATGATACTTTGCTTTCCCCATATTTATTTACCTACTTAATTTTTATAGCTGCCCGATAGCAGAAGTATGTTAGGAAGCCAGTGTGGTGTAGTGGTTAGAGTGTTGGACTAGGACCTGGGAGAGCAGGGTTCAAATCCCCACCCAGTCATGAAGGTCACTGAGTGATCTTGGGCCAGTCGCAGCTTCTAACCTACCTCACAAGATCATTGTAGGGATTACCTGGGGGGGGGTGAACCATGTACCCTTTGGGGAAAGGGTGTGATATAAATACAATAAATAGGCCCTTCTACTTACCTGCTTAACAAAGCTGATGGGGCCAACAAGATGGAGATTTCAGTTTCCCGCTTGGCATCCAGAGATCTCCATGTGGTCACAGTTGGACGCTTGTCAGTCACACGACTCGCCTGGCTAATTTTAACCGTATCAGGGGCAGAAAGAACTGTGAAAGTGTAATGTTCATACAACAATATGCATCTCTATCTTGAAGACCAAGGACTCATTTATGCAGGGCCCCGAGTGCACAAAAACATCTGCCCATGCTATGCAGCATTTTACTTAAAAGTGCCATAATCAATAGGCCTGTTCCCATGGCTGGTATCCAACTAAGTTTTACTCAGAGTAGATACACTGAAATTAATGGGCCTAAGTTAATCATGTTTATTTTAATGGGCTTGTTCCGTGTAGGAGTAGTACTTGGTACAACCATAAGAGTTCCCCGCCAACATTTCTCCGATGAAAATGGGAACGCCCTATTATTATTATTATTATTATTCCCTGCCCATCTCAGTGGGTTGCCCCAGCCACTCTGGGTGGTTTCCAACATAACTGAACATTAAACATTAAAAAGCGGTCCCTATACAGGACTGCCTTCAGGTATCTTCTGAGGGTTGTATATTGTATAGTTACTTATCTCTTTGGCTTGGGACTTGCATATATACTGGTGGAGCACTGCGTAATTTTAATGTCCTATGTAAGATCCTGCACACGGCAGCACTTTTCATGCACCCAACACCTTGCAGTCTTGGAATACACGTTGTTTGGAGTTGCTGCCAGAGTTGGATTTTTCATTTGGTTTCTCTCCAAAGGAATATGTATGCCCTGCTGGGTTTTAATGGGCTTTTAGGCTAGCCTACAATTCCAAAGAAGGCAGCCGTGCCTTAGAAATGTTATCATGCTAAGCAAACCCAAACAAGATTTTGCCTTGTCATGCCTGGTCCTACTTCCACAATGGCCTATGTGGCAACAGCTCTGTCTAGACGCTGTAATTACTTTCTGTTTCTCTTTGTTTTTCTCTTGCTTACTGGAAACAGCTAGCTCATATACCCTTTGTAGATCACACCTGCCTCACCGGACTGATGTGACAAGGAAAACTTGCCCTTTGCTACTGTTGCTGTGCCAAAACTATATACTGTAGTGCTCTCCCAGATGCTGTAAGCCCATAATTAAAACTAGTTGTGGTTCCAGCTTGTGCAAGCTCTACTGCCATTATTGGCCAGCTATCAGTATCAACCATGAGTAATTTTGGACTCACAGCTGTCCACGGAGGCACAGGTCAATTCTGAGTCCAGGGCAGCTGTCTACCAGCTTCATCTGGTACGCCGGCTGAGACCCTACCTTGCCCACACACTGTGTCTCAAGAGTGGTCCATGCACTGGTTATGCGCTGGTGACCTTGAAGGTGACTTGGAAACTGCAACCAATCCTGAATGCAGCAGGTGGACGGGTGACTAGGAGCGGCCGCCAGGACCATATAACACCGGTCCTGAAAGACCTACATTGACTTCTAGTACATTTCTAGGCACAATTCAAAGAGTTGGTGTGGCCCTTTAAAGCCCTAAACAGCCTTGACCCTGTATACCTGAAGGAGCATCTCCACCCGCATCGTTCAGCCCAGATGCTGAGGTCCAGCTCCAAAGGCCTTCTGGCAGTCCCCTCATTATGAGACGTAAAGCTACAGGGAACCAGGCAGAGGGCCTTCTTGGTTGTGGCACCCACCCTGTGAAACGCCCTCCCATCAGATGTCAAGGAAACAGACAACGACCTGATTTTTAGAAGACATCTGAAAGTAGCCCTGTACAGGGAAGATTTTAATGTTTGATGTTTTATTGTATTTCTAATATTCTGTAGGGCTAGGTAGAGCGACCCCTCCCCTCTGTCCAAATATCCTCCAGCATGGTGGAGCAGGGTTTGTTGACCACTGTGCCACACAGTTGACTTATTTGCTATTAGTTGGGGAATGCAACGTACGACACAGGGAGTGGAACGAACTAATACTCCAGAGTGCTTGTTCCTCTTCCATTCCTGCCACACCTGCTCCACATTCCACGCTCCGCTGCAGAGACTAGATGCCTGTGAATGTCCACTAACAGTTAGTCATGGGCCTTTGGGTTTTCTTCCAAACATTCCTTTGGTCTGGGCTGACAGAGGCGAGGCCCTAAGCTGTGGGTGGGTTTCGCTTGAATTTGCAGGGAAACCCTCAATGCAGTTGGTTGTGATGTCTTCAGCAGAGGCAGTTCTGCTATGTTATTTCTCCCCGCTCAGAATATGATGTGGTCTTGGTTAGACTGAGCCTCCTGGAAATCAGTGGAATGAAGAGACACCCTTTTGAAATACCCACCAGCACCTTCTATGGTGCCCCCAAGTGGTCCCAGTAAATATCTCCCCACCCCCAAAAAATACACAATACATGAGACCCCGTTGGCTCTTCCCTTGGGTATCGGGGTGGGGGGAAGACCTGCCACTTTCCCTGGAAGAACCATCACCCCCACCTTCCTTTCTTTTTAAAAAATTGTATGTTTCTGGCAGTTGAAAAAATTGAGATAGGAGACAAAATGCGCAGACCCTTTTCTTCTCTGTTTTGTGAGAGACTTGCTTTGTCCCAGTTGTTTGTGCAGAGTATTGAACACCCATCCTTCTGTTCTGAGGTACAAGGAGCTTCTCTCTCCCCCGCCCTTCCTCCCTCTGTGTGCGCAACCATATAGAGGTAGGCCCCTTCCCATTGATGGAGGGGCCCTGCTTGCAACCATTTTATGGCCCTGCCTCTCCTCCCCCCCTGCTCTTCTTAGATGTGAAAGCCATTTTGTGTGGGGACATGATGTCCTGGATTTGGGTGAGAAGATGCTGGAGGGTAGAGGGATGCGGGTGGTGCTGTGGGTTAAACCACAGAGCCTAGGATTTGCCAATCAGAAGGACGGCGATTCGAATCCCCGTGACGGGGTGAGCTCCCATTGCTTGGTCCCTGATCCAGCCCACCTAGCAGTTCAAAAGCACGTCAAAGTGCAAGTAGATAAATAGGTACCGCTCCGGCGGGAAGGTAAACAGCGTTTCCGTGCGCTGCTCTGGTTTGCCAGAAGCGGCTTAGTCATGCTGGCCACATGACCTGGAAGCTGTACGCCAGCTCCCTCGGCCAATAAAGCGAGATGAGCGCCGCAACACCAGAGTCAGTCACGACTGGACCTGATGGTCAGGGGTCCCTTTACCTTTACCTTTATGCTGGAGGGTATGCAAAGGTAAAACTCACATACATCACTCCACCCACATTGCTTCTGGTCCCATCTGCCACCAGCATGTGGGCCCAGAAGGGAGTGTGGCCCTCAGACTGAGAAAGTCCCGTATAGTAGACAGACGGCATATTGGCAGGAACAGATCTCCCATCTCTTTGGTACTTGCGACTCCTTCCTTTTAAGCCGACTTCTACGTTCTGTGAAATTAAACATGCTCCTTGAACCCTGGCTGATGCTGAATGCTTATGGTAGCAACCTTCGTGACTAGTGAAAGCCCATTCTTTTCTTCCATGCTGTGAGACTTTACTGCTTGGCAAGGTGCATGTGCTTTATTCTGAAAAGCCTTTTGAAGGAAGTGTGTGTCATCTCCTATTTTGCTGTAGGCCGAGTCAGAATCTGAGTGTGCTTTTTGACTACCCGTCTAGGAATTTTTACTGAAGTCTCCTGCATAGTTTAACCTTGTGCAAATAGAATTCTCATTTGAAGTCTTTAAACACACACACACACACACACACACACACACACACCATCTCTCTCTCCCCCCACCCTGATTTGTTCAATTCTGTCCCTACTTCCATCCCTTCAGACTGTGAATAAAACCCTTTTCTTTGGAAGAAGGGCAACTGAGCAAGGCAGGCCTTCTGTGTCCCATTGATACTATGAGTAAGCACCCAGTCATCAACCTCAAAACTTCTTACTGAACCATATGTGAAGAAATTTGGACAACTTCTGAAATAGTTGAAGGTGAGGCCCACAAAGCTTGTTGCAGCTGGTGTGCCTCCGGGGATCCTTGTAAGATCTAGCAAAAGAAGCGTTGATGTGTATTCAAGTGGTTGGAGTAAGGCTGTGCACAAAGTTTGTGGCTTTATTGAAATTGCTTACGAAATAGCATTTTATTAGCCATTTCGTTCCCTCATCAAAGCATGCAAGATTTTCTGCATGTAAAAGCAGATGGACTTCCTGTTGAACTTGATCTACTGTCCATACATTTTCTTTTTTAAAAAGAAGTCAACTTCCTCTACACAACGTTTTGTTTCCTCACTGTGGTTTCTTCAACCAGAATCTTGTTCGCAAGGATGAGCTTTGCCAGAACTGAGATGTCAAAAGCGCACTGCAAATTTAATTTAGATAAGCAGAATAAGTTTACTGGAAAGCATGTTGGTCAAAAGAAGCAGAGCTCTTCAAAAGGCGTGCAATCTCAGCAGGAAATGCTTTGGCAAAAACCCACATGTGTTTTCAGCTTCTGTGCAGGTCTTGTGTGATCTGGAAGATATGCTTTGCAAGAGGTTAACTACATATTAAGATTAGAACTGGCAAACTGAGCAGAACACAAAGCTGAAGAACTGATTTGTCTTATAATATTACGCTATGAAGAATTCTATTCCTGTTGCTTCTCACGGATATCTGTTTTTAGAAATAAGAGTTATACAAGTAGATATATTAAAATGTGAGCAGTTTGTTAAAAGAAGAAGTTCCCAAGTGGGAACTTCAAATTCAGGGAAGAAGGTCTGTGAATCAGGGATGGAGAGCCTGTGGTCCTCCAGGTGTTGCTGAACGACAGCTCCCATTCACTGTTCGAAATTAGCCAGGCGCCAGGCGCATTTTGCACCTGCCTATCAGCCCCCAGATGCCTGGGCCCCAGGATGGCACCTGACATCTCCACCATCTGGAGGTGCATATCTGGGGTTCATTGGATCTTGACTGTTTCCACACACTGATACCACATCCTGTTATCAGTTATATTTTATTTGCACAATCAGAATGAATTTTAGGAATCAAAATACCTTTTCTGTGCAGCCTGAGCAGGAGCAGTGAACAGCCTTGTAGTTACCGGTAATAGTTGTGTCTTGTCTTCATTTATCCCACCCCACTGCCCTGCTCACAGTTGTGAAGTATATTCTTATGTTACGAATGCTTGGTGTAACTATTAAGGAGAAGAGGTAGGAATGGGCCAATATATATGTGGACTGTCCCTGGATCAAGTGGCTTTTCTTTTTTAAGTTCTCAAGTTTGTCATCTGAAATAGCCAGATGTTGTCAGTCCACCATTTGAAAAATAAGGCTTTGAGCCATCTTGCCCCCAAATGGCGACTAGACATTCTGTTTTGGCGACTGTAACCTTGGTTTAGGGAGCCATTTGGTGCCTAGCTTATATATCTGAGTTTCTCACACTGCTCCCATGATCCCTGACCATTGGTCTAACTGACTGGGGCTAATGGGGATTGGCATTCAGCAACACTTGGAAGGCCAGAAGTTCCCAATTCTTAGTCTCGGTTATGGTTTCTGCAAGTGGTGGAAGGGCCTTGCCTCAACATAGTCCAATCTATGCTCTTTTTCTTCCTTTTTTGCCAAGAACAGGCATTTTGCTCTCATTTTCTTTATCTTTCAATGGTCAGCCGCTTTGATCAAATCATAATTTCCCCACCATTTTGAAGCTGGAGTTGCTCCATTAAAAAACCCACAACGAATTCAATAAGATCTGTGCTGTGACTCTTTCTAAACCGAATAGATGTGCTAAGAATTGCTTTGATATCCTGTTCTGGGTTTGGAGTTATTTTCAATGCAGGGAAGTGGAGAAACTGCTTGCAGATGCTGCTAACATATTTTGACCATTTTGTCATGCATTTTATTGCTCCAGTGGAATATCTTGCAAGGGTGGCCCCACCTTTTTTGTCATCTTTTCCCATACAGATTCATGTGGAAAACATAAATTCCCAGCCATTTTTTTGCGGGGTGGGGCTCTGCACGACTTAGAAGCTAGGATACTTCTCCAGTGTCATAATGAAGCACTTGCTGATCCAGATTCCGTGCTTCACCATGGGAAAGTAGACTCCCTGCATTGCAGTAACATTCACTGAATCTTGGTCTGCTCTCCAGGTACTGCTTTGAACTGGGTTTCCAGTTTTGCCTGTGGGAAATTAATAGGTGAACTTGGACTTGAAAATGCAGGTTGGGTCTCTCCTTGGCCATGAAACTTATTGGATGGCTTTGGGCAAGTCCCTTTCTCACAGTGTTGCAAGGTTGTTCTGCCCTGAACTCCTTGAAGGAAGAGCGAGATATTTTGGGTGGCATTTGGTTTCCTCACAATTGTAGAATTATAACACACATGCAGACAGCCCATCCAAATGCTACTGCCTGTTTGATGTTTATAAGTGTAAGCTGGCAGGCACTAGGGATATGGCTTTCTCAGTGGTGGCCCCACACCTTTGGAACTCTCAGAGAGATGTATATGGAAGTTGGATCAGTTAATGTTTTCAGGAAAGCTTTCCTGCCACTGCTGCTCTTCCTTGTGTGAAGGGCCATAGCTCTGTGTCAGAGCACATGTTTTGCATGCAGATGATTCCAGGTTCAAACCCTAGTGTCTCCAGGTAGGGCAGGTAAAGGTTTCCACCTGAAGATCCAGGAGATCTGCTGCCGCCACTGACTGGCCCAATACTGAACTGGATGGACCAACAGCCTGACATTAAAAGGCAGCTTGCCATGTTCCAATTCAGCAACATAACCAAGTACGGAGAGGGTTGGTTGGCTGTTGTTTGCTTGAAGTCTCTGTTGGGGATGCCTTAGATTTGGATCTCTGTCAACATGAAGTGAGTTGGACTGGATGTAGCCTTCAAGGCTCCCTTCAACTCTATAATTTTACAATCGATTCCACTGATTCTGTGTTCGTTTCCAGGGAAGTAAATTCAAGATGATGTAGCTTTGCATGACGTATTTTGCTTAGGTTACAATGGTTGTGTGCTGTGAACATGCTCTAGGTATTCTTTTGCATGAGTTCAGTTGTGTATGTGGTGACCCCCTTTGGCTTGGAATGTTTGGTAGCAGAAATGTGACGGAGAACAGAAACAGAAATAAAAATACTTGCTAGAAATAACAATACTGGGACGCTACCACTGATGCTAAAACTGAGAACAGGAAATGCTACTGCATGCGCAACTGATGGCGACGACAAATTAGCTCTTGGAACTCTTAGGCCGTAGTTAACCCCATTAACCTGGAAAATCATAGGAGTCTTGCACTGTGATGTTCATATGGTTTTCATGGATCATACTACTGCCACTCACGTGATGAAATTTGGGGCAGTATTCTGGCACACAGGTTTGCCCCACTCTTTCCATGGGTGAATTGTGGGGGGACAGAAGTGCCTATGCACGTAAAAGGTGTCTGATGACCTCTGCTATTGTGTCGCACCACACTCAATGGTGTGAATGAAGTTTAGCATGACCTGGTGGAATATTGATTAAAAAATGCACTGTTCCACAGTGCAAGAGAAAGTGCAGTGTGAAAGGAACATTAGAAAACAGGACAGAAGCACTAGCATGATAACCAGGAAGTTTTACACAATGATCTCCTTGCCTCAGTGCACCCTAAGTCTCTGCCCCTGCCTTTCTCTCTGCATCCCAGTTTGGGCCCAATGCATAGAACAGCCAAGGAACTCTCTGCATTTTTCTTATTGTAAGGAAAGGATTTTGGAATTGGCTGAATCAAAGTTTTGGGTATTAATCCATTCCTCAGACTTCAGCTGCAAAGACCGCTTAACTGTACTATCAGGATCATACCTACTTTGCACTGAGTTTTACTGAAGTAAAAGGCCATTCTCTGAGTTACCAAGTTTTGAATTAGACTCTGTTCGTCCTGGTCTTACTTTGCAAAGCGCTTGATGAAAGACAAAAGCAGCACGTCATTCTAATAGCGCTGGATCTTTTCCTTTTCCCCCAGGAACATTTATCTATTTAATATTTACTTAATTACCAAATTCTCCAAGCAGCGCGTATAAAAATTACAGAAAGCACGTAGTGGATAAAATTAAGATTAATCACAAAAATATGAAACTTCCTTAAAATGCCTGCTGAAATAGAGAAGTCTTTGTCAAACTCCTGAAGTTCAACAGAGCCGAGGTCTGTCTGGTCTCAGCTTCCCTCCTGCAGTGCTGCAAATTCCCACACAAGTTATCTCACCATCTTCTAAGAAATGGGATCACGTTGTCCGTCCATGAATTTAGAACTTGCTGATTTCAAAAGTCACTGTGCATCTGATGAAATAAGCTGTGGCCCACACAAACGCACACCCTTTATAAAATGAAGAGCGTAGATGCGTTTTGCTGCTTGCCCTTCGCAGCTCAGGTTGCAACGGAATATCTATGGGTGGATTTCTGTTCCCGTTGTTGGCATTAGAAAGTTTAAACAAATTGACTGTCTCCCCCCACCCTCTGATTAGTAGGTTACCGAGGGCAAGGGACGGTAATAAACTTGTTGGCATTGATCTTAGTGGCATTTTTCACTTCTGTCATGGCATTCCTGATAAATGGTCCAAGGTCCTGCATTTAAATAAAGATTTATCGGAGGCACACAGTCAAGTGTTAACATGCTATTCAGTGGAAGTTCACATGCTTTGTTTTTGTGCATCCCAGAAGATAATGTTCTAATGCGTGCTCTGCATGTTTGCTTTATTCGCAACCTGTCTCAAAAGCGTTCCTGTACATCAGTGTTACTTTTTTTAAAAAACTGGCAGCTCATCTGAAACAAGACTTTGAGGGTGCCAGGCTGATAATTCACAGGAAGTCTGTGGAGCATTGCCATTTTTTCCTGAAAAAGAGAAAAGGTTGTGCTTTTGTTTTTGGGTGTCCGAGCCTTGTTCATCTATTTAAATCCTTCTGGTTAAATTGTATTCATTTATTTTATTAATACTTCATCAATACCGTATTTTCATTTACTTCTGAGATTTCTTACCATCTTTTCACCATAAGACCCCAGGGCAGGTTACAAGCAATACAATATAGAATTATAAAAACAACTGAAAACAGTGAACAGTGTTCCAAATGGAACAGAACAGTATAAATTCAGCAAAAGGGGTGGGTTCCGCCTAATAAAATGCCTTAACTAATAAAGAGGTGCATTTTCAGCATAGAAGCCAGGTTTACCTCCATGGGGAGGGAGTCCCACATTTTGGGGACTGATTTTTGAGTATGCAAAGCACTTAAGAACCCCTCACCTAGGGGAAGAAGGGTCAGCCTCTTTTCGTTTGCCTAACAGCCAAATTGGGCTCTGTTTCCCTTCCTTCCAACTCCCAGTCCTTCCTCCACTGGGCTAGAAGCCTATCACTCTCTGATTGCCACCTGCAGCACCGATCTCAGCCCAGCCAAACTGGAGGCCACGATTATTCCAGCATAGGGAGATGAGGTAGGGACAATGTAGGGTTTTACCCACTCCAACATACAATGGTCAATTGCAGTTAACGGTGGCAAAGAGAGCTTGCCAGAGAAACACTTCGGCAACTGGCGTGGAGACATACTTACCCAGAAGACCAGAAAAGTTGTGAGCTGGTCTTCTGAATTCTTGCTTCCAAACTCCACTGCTTTTAATTCACCTACCTTCACCAGGAAATGGTTTTGAGGGGCAAGGTTGCAAGTTGACTGTGAAACATTTATTTACTCCCAGGAAATCCCGGTGTCATCTGCCAGAACTTCCCAGGAGGAACTTGCTTGACAATTGCCTCTCTTCTTCCTTAAACCCTAGGTTTCTAAGATCGTTATCATGGGTGTTGTGAATTTGAGCTTGGAAATATCTGTCAAATAGTGAGATTTAAGGATAAACCTCTGGGAGTTAGCAAACCTGAAGAGTTTGCTTTCTATCCCACACTTGGCAGGCTGGTGCCCACTGCTTGCCATAATTCACATTTTGTGAGTCACAGTATCTTTACAGGGCTGTTAATTTACTAAGCTGGGTTCCTTACGTCTTATGCTGGCTTGTAAATAACCCTTTCTCTAGAGACAGCGGATGAGGCAGTTTTTGGAAAGTAGAAGAGAGTTGGTTCTTCCGGTGTGCCACAAATGATATTCAATAGGTCAAGAAATGTTGAGGACTAGGAACGTCTGTGCACTTGTCTGCAAGGCCAATATTGTTCACATGCTGATAACAACAAGAAAATAATTAACCTCTGTCTTTATTATGACTCATTAGCTTAGAGTTCTGTCTACACTGGCTTCTGCTAAATGAAAGAGAAATTGCCCTCTAAGTTAGCTTAGTTTTGTGACCCTTTTATCTTGAGCAAAGGAATTCTTTCTCAGCTAATTCCACTCTGTGCATACAGAAAACCAGCAGTATTCTCACAGGGAGGAGCACACGAGCTGTTGGAAAGCAAAAGTTAGTTTCAGAAGTTGTGCTGGTGGGGTGTGTGGGAGCTCCTGCTTCTGCCCCACAGAGAGGGCTTGTAGATGCAATTTCAATTTTTGGATTTTAAAAAAATATTCATTGAAAAAAGGCAGTGACTGCAGAAGAAGATGCCAGTTTCAACTCTTTGCATTCTTAAACATGGCTGTATCTGAAGTATTAGCGAATGAGAAGTTTGATAAGACCCTGTTCACCTAACTGTTCAGGAAGGTATGGGTAGCAAGCGATAAGTTCCTTGCCTATGTGAATATGCAACCTTTCCCTAATATTAGCAAATGAGATATCTCTTCCATGGGCTTCTCTCTATCTTACCCACCCACTCCCAGTCCAGAACAGAACAGGATGTCCTACAACACACGAGGTATTTATTTGGCAACCACATTATAAAGAAGTTGTTGCATGTGCTGCTGAGACAGAAATAATGGGTGTGCTGACAGCTGAGCTTGTTTTGTGGTGGTTTTGTTTTTTGTTCAAATGTCTTCAGGCGCTGAATGTCTGGCCACACAACTTTCCCACCAGGTAAACTGGTTCGGCTAAGTATTTCGGGAGCTGCCAAAACCTAATTGTGTTTCATGCTGTCCTGTATGAAGAGCTGCTATCGTCGGGCCTCATAAAATGGTTTGAAATTACCTTGGATGTGCTGCTCACAGTTGCATGCCTGCCGCTTTTCAAGAAGACTGCTAGATGCTTGAGGCACATCCTGGGCAATAGGTGCAATTAAGGCTTTATATGCAGCATTTTCGAGATTTCACTAGTTGTGCGTCGCCCCTTCAGTAGGGTAGCCTTCCTCAGTTTGGAGCCTTGCAGATGTTTTGGTCCACAGACCCCACCATCCCTAGCCCACAGGGGCATGCTAGCAGGGACTGATGGGAATTCTGGTCCAAAATATCAGGCGGGCACCAGGTTGGGAAAGTTTGTACCGAGAACATAGGCTTCCCTTTGAATGTCCGCTGAGAGGATGTTGGATTCATTGACCAGTTTCTCGTTTCTGGACAAGAAAGAACCCCATGCATTCTGATCTTCAATATTGTTGTTGTTGTTGTTTAGTCGTGACCGACTTTTCGTGACCCCATGGACCAGAGCACGCCAGGCACTCCTGTCTTCCACTGCCTCCCGCAGTTTAGTCAAACTCATGCTGGTAGCTTCGAGAACACTGTCCAACCATCTCGTCCTCTGTCGTCCCCTTCTCCTTGTGCCCTCCATCTTTCCCAGCATCAGGGTCTTTTCCAGGGAGTCTTCTCTTCTCCTGAGGTGGCCAAAGTACTGGAGTCTCAGCTTCAGGCTCTGTCCTTCCAGTGAGCACTCAGGGCTGATTTCCTTCAGAATGGATAGGTTTGATCTTCTTGCAGTCCATGGGACTCTCAAAAGTCTCCTCCAGCACCATAATTCAAAAGCATCAATTCTTCAGCAATCAGCCTTCTTTATGGTGTTAAAAACATGGCAGTAGACGATGGGTCTGCAAGGAAATGTGAGATTCCAAGGAGCGCTTTGCAACAAAAGGCCCTCACAGTGACATCTTCCTGAGCCAAATTATTCTCAAGACTTCCTATAGCATAAATCTGGCCTTCCTGTCTTTTCCTTATTCTGTCAGAGGGGTTTGGGGGGTGTTTTGGGTATTTTGCTTTGCTTCCCCACCTCCCAGTTCCCCCCATTAAATGTAAGACAAAAAAAGGAGCAAGTGCACAGCATAGCAAAATATCCTCATAGCTTCTGAGGATTTTTTTTTTTAAAAAAAGCTGGTTTAAGGCAGACCTCCCTGTATCAGATAGTTATTCTTGGAGCCTTTGTTGTCTGGGTCTTGTCTGCAGCTTCAGCCTGTACATTGGTAGGAGAAAAAAGCCGCTCTCTCAAATCCAAAAGTGCTTTCTTTCTTTTTTTATTCACAAGCTTTGTTAGTATTATTGTGAGGTTTCAAGCTTCCTCCCGGGAGACTGCTCTACACATTTCCAAAAGATAACAGCATACCCTTGCAGCATTATTAGGCATTTCTTGCTTTATTTCCTAGGAACAAGGGAAGAATTACAGCCCTTACAGAGATTACAGCTGTTAAGATGCCATGGCAAGGCGGGCACCAGGGGTCAGCATCATCAGGCACCTGCCTGAGGCTTAAGACACCAGTGCCCTGGTCTTCCTCCAGTTCCCTGTTCACCTGCATACAGTAGTTTCATTGCAGTAACTGACCTTTAAGAGCCATGACTTTGAATACCACCCTTCTACATGCCAGGAGGGCGTGGACCTTAGAGCAAAGCTTTGGGAAAAGGTTCAGTGGAATAACACAATGTGATGCATGCAGAAGGTTACATGATCAGTGTCTGGGACCTCCAGTATCCCTGCTTGCAGGTTAAGATACAGTGGTACCTCGGTTTAAGAACAGCCCTGTTTACGAACTATTCGGTTTACGAACTCCGCAAAACCGGAAGTAATGTCCTGGTTTGCGAACTTTACCTCGGTCTAAGAACGGAAGCCGAATGGTGGAAGCGCACCAGCGGCGGGAGGCCTTATTAGGGAAAGCGCACCTCGGTTTAAGAACAGACTTAAGTTCGTAAACTGAGGTACCACTGTATATGCTTGAGATCCTGAACAGCTCCCATCACCCAGTTGAGCTAAATGGACCAATGGTCTTGGCTAGATATAAGGCAGCTTCACAGCTGTCTATATCTTCACTAGAACCTTGCGTTCTAGGTTATGCAAAGGGCTGTACTGAGAACTCCCTCACATAAGGAGATGGAAGAGTCTACCCGATGGTTTCCATTTTAGCAGGTGGATAAAATCCTTACTGACCAGGGATAGGCCTAATAATCCTAATACTTACTCACTGTAAATTCCTACCTCAGTTTAGATGACTTTAAGAGAGATTTTAGGGATGCCTTGCTAAAATGCTGTAAGTGTGAGTTGGCTCAATTCACAGATGGGTAGCCATGTTAGTTTTTTGCAACAAAAACAACAAAAAGCCTGGTGGCAATGAAAAAAAAATATTATGCTATTCAGCTTTCATGGGCACAAACCCACTTCATCAGATGCAAGACTCTTTGCTTTTTGTTAGTTGCTCCTTAGGGTACAGCTACCCCCCCCCCCCGGCAGCATCACAAAGTTAAGGCCACAATCCTTAACAACATCCCTGGCCATAAGTCTTAGTGAGATCAATGACACTTTCTTCTGACTAGATATGTATGGAATTGTGCTGTAAATCCCTAACTAGGAGAGGAAAGAAGCATCTTGTGTTAACTGTGCATGCACATTAATGCACACACACACATGACCGCTAAGGCACTATGGTGTGCATAACCTGCCATTTCTCACACATTGCTGAGACTTATGTGGAAGTGTAAATAACGTAGACCAATGAGTGTTTCTTTCCCCCTGGTGTATTTTTAACCAAAAGAAATAATATTCCCATTGCTTTTAAACTAGAGGCAGCTGCAAAGTAAACACAACGCACAACAGGCAGAGCACAGCTTCCGGCTTCCTCCTCCTCTTAGGAGAGGAGGCTCCTCAGGTTGCCGTGCAATCCAAAATAGGTTTTCTTGGAAGTAAATCCTATTGAACTCAATGGGGCTTACACACTGATGTGTGGCCACTGTCTGCGGATACAAGCACAATAAACATTAGTAGCAGCACCTACTAAATCCCATGAAAGGAGCAGCTCTCATTCTCCAAAGAAGATGGGCAACATGTGGCCTTTTCTCCTCATCTTTGGCAGCTGTGGCACATCTTAACATCGCTCCAGTTCAGGAATTTGCTGCCCAAGTATAACAACAACAGCAACAACAATTCCCAAAGGAAACCTCCACATGGAGGAAGAACATCTGAGAAAACCCAGTCTCCATTTCCAGCTGCTGCTTCCTAGTGGTGGTTCTGCCTCTGTGACTGCAGAAAAAAAATGGCTCTCTGCACTCACGCAAATTGCCACTGGAAAGCAGCAGAGCACCTTGTAACTGGGTTTATATCGGGTCAGGGAGTTCTTCATTCAGCTACATCCCTAACAGTTGCTTCACGCGGCGGAAGATGCTGCAGACATCTTGACATTAGACCTCCATCGTGGGTCTTCCATTGCAGTCAATTATTTGTTCATTTCTTCCACTGTGGCTACTCTGGTCTTCTCTATGGGAGTCTGATGGGCCTGAAGTGCATCAAATTCCTGTGAGTTCATTGGAGGTCTGTGGACAGAAGCTGTAGCTTGGTGGTAGACCACACCTGCTTTGCACGCAATTCTTGGCATCTCCAATTAAGAAAACGCTGGCGATGCTGATGTAGCTGGACAAATGGTCTGACCTGGTATAATGAAGTTTCCTATACAAAACTCTGCCCTCCAAATTGGGTGACGGGTGGCCAGTCTGCCACAAGTGGCACAGGCAGCAAGAGTTTGTGGCATCCCGGTTGGACAGAGGGGTTTGAGGCACATGCACACAACTCTTTTGTGCCCTGCACATGCAAGGCACTTAGTCCTGCCTAAGCTTTGCAAGGACAAAGCTTCATCGTATTTTGACAAAGCCCAAGCATCTGTCTCCTGCCTGCAACTTCCACTGTGTGTTCCTTGGAGGTTTTTGAGCAGAGGCTGGATGGTCATCTGTCATGGATGCTTTAGCTGAGATTCCTGCAATCAGTGATGAACCTTGGGTTCCCTTCCAACTCTTATGATTCCAGGACTAGGCTGTTTGCACATTTAACAATTTTTAATGCGTGAGATTGCGAAATAGGATCTGATATTTTTAATAGTGAGCAACCTTTTGCTGCATCCTGTCTTAGTTTTGCAGCATTTGCTTATTGAAAGTAAACTCCAGTTATCTCAATAGGGATGCAGTCCTCCTGGGCTCACGATTCCAGGGGAGGATGTGAAATACACCTCTTGTCTTGTAACAACCTGCTCTGAAAGAAACCCAAATTGCTCATTAGGAAAGTTCCCAAAAGTATTACAATTCAGCGCCCAGGGTGCATTATGGAAGCAGGCAGGTTCAAATTCCTTTCAGATGGATGAATTGTGGCACAAAGCATGTTCAGATGATGCTTATGCAGCCTGATTCTATCTTTGTCTGTTTACTGGCGAGGAGGGTCCACTAAAATCAGTGGGATGCCTTCCCTCTGCAAAAAGAGAGAGAAAGGGAACATGCATAGACTTTTGCCTTCAAACAGTTGGATTGAAGTATATGGCAAAAATGGCGAGAATAATCTGAAAATCATACAGCCCTCCTTTCAGAACAACAACAAAAAGAGAGCAGCAATTCTTGAAGATGTTTTGTCTGGTGTGCTGCAGTCTCCATAGTGAAGGCCAGCAATGTCTCTGCACACTCCGGGCTCTCAGAATGGTTTTAAGTGCAAAAGTCAGCACTGTTTGGTTCTCTCGTTACACTGTGTCCTGCAAAATTGCATTCTAAAATGATGAAACTGGATCGGGCATAGTCTTTTAACTTTCACCAATCTCCATGCAGACTATTTTCCAAGTTGTTTTCTGCTTCCCTCCTGTTCCACCCCCCACCCCACCCCAGAAAAGTATATGCCAGCCTCTGTTCTCTGAAGCAAGCCATGTATCTCGATAATACAATACTTGCCTTCTCCTGCATTCAGACTGGAGGTCTAGACACTTTTTCTACCTTTTGTTCGGAGGGGTCACGGGGTTAGGATAGTGTTCCCAGCCAATTTTCTCTCTCCCGAACAGTGGATGTTTTCCCACAATAGGGGGTTGTGCTTGGGAAATAAAGCCAGGGCTCGTCCGCAGAGAGCAGGCCCCTCTTTTTAAGCACGCTCAATTTTTATAATTACCAAGGCAGCTCCCGAAGAGAAACGTGCTTTTGAAACGCAGTCAAGATTACTCCCACTCCAGTTCTTACATGCACAGATTCTCAGCTGACACAGTCTAAATAAAAACCTTTTACCCTATGCCAATAAGTCTCGAGCAAGCTGCCAAATAGCGTTGAGGACCAAGATATATAAAAAAAAACAACCCTCCACTGCTAAAACACTGCAGTCAGGTCTAAGCAGCGTATGCCTCATGGAAAGGGTACAATTGACGTCCCTCTTTCCACCGCGTTCCACACACAAGATGTTCGGTCTTTTGGGAAGGGGGTGTTGTTGCAACACATTAACAGAATTTTAAATATCTTTGTTGGATTCTAGGCAAATACAACTCCCTTAGCAACAAAGCAGAGCCAATACTTTTTGCTGGTACATATTCTCTCTCCCCCCCAACGCTCTTTTTTTTTTTTTTAAATAGTAAGGCATTTATCTTATTTTTAAAAGTCACACACACACACACACACACACACACACACACACACACACCATGCAAAACGGTGTTCCAGTTATTCAAACAATGCTCCAACTTTGCAATTGTTGTGGTGAGGCCATCTGTTCCTCTTGTTATCGAGGTCCATGCTGACTCCATTGCTTCATCCACCAGGCTGTCACAAGGAGTAAGTCTGCAAGCCTAAGCATGCTCGCTTGGAAGTATCGGTTTTAGAGTTTGCACCTTTCAAGCTGGCCCTGTAAATAAATACTCAGGCCCCAAATGGCTATAGCGATGGCTCTTTGGATGTGAACTCCATTTCAGATGTTGCTAGACTACATTTCCGCTCATTCCTGCCCATTGGCCATGCTGGCTGGGACTGATGGGAGCTGGAGCCTACCAATGACATCTGCAGATTCCCTGCCTCTTTTATTACCAGATGCTTTTTTGGGCAAACAACACCGGCTGACACCCTCCATCTTGTTTTGCCCATCCTGGGGCCAGTGGCTGGCCACTGTTGGGGACACAGTGACAGATTCCATGGACCTTTGATCTGATCCAGTGCAGATGGTTCTTACGTTCTTACAGTGGTGCCATAAAGCCCTTCTGCCCCTTTTTATGAGGAAGGGTTCACTGGGATTTAAAATGGCTACATATGTTAAGGAAAATCCCACGTGTAGACTTCAGGACTTGCTGTTTGTAGAACGTAAAAGTGGGTTTTTTTGGAAGTCGGGCAGTGCGATAATGCAAACCCTTCCAAAGGGCAGAGAAAGAAAAGAATCTGGTTCTATCCTTCATGGCTCCTTTTAGCAATTTCTTTCAGATAACCTACGCCTCTGTGTCAGTGCAATTAAAAGAGAAATTCTGTCTAATGAACAGTTGTAGCCCTTGGGCTATTGTGGAATGAGCAGTGAAGTTGGGAGCAGTCTTATTAAAATAATAATTAAGGAACAAGGGAGGTGGGGAAGAAAAAGAGAGGAATTATTGATGCTCATACAGCCCAATAAATGTTGATAAACAGTAGCAAGCCCAATTTGGAATTTCAGAGACAAACTTTCAGGCCTCCCACATCACTCATAACAACAGTTGCATGATGCAGTTTAAGGCTAGAGGGTTGGAAGTTCCTGATCCCATTTTTCCATCTCAGAAATAAGAGGAGTAGTTCAATGTTATGCATGTCTACTTGGAAGTAATTCCAATGGTATTCAATTGGGCTTACTCCCAGGTAGGTAGGTAAGTGTAGCTCTGCACACTTACCAATGAGACTTAAACCTGAGAAAACCCAGCACAGGATTGAGCCGCATGAGTGGTCTAGCGTGTACAACTGGGGCTAGATGTGGATGATTGTGCCATGGACTCATTGGGTGGTCTTGGTGGTTTGGTCTTGGCTTGTTTGGTAAGAAATAAATCACGCTAAGCCAACACTCTGGTTTGTTTCCTCTTGGCATGGCCATGGGAATAGGCCATAGGCTTAGCACGACACGTGAACCAGGCCACAGTATCAGCCTAACGTCCTAAGCATTTATGTCCAACGGCTATTTCTTAAGTGTACTTTGCACATTGATATGTGTTTTGTGAATATTTTCTTGTTGTGGTATAGCAGCCCCTTAAGAGGCTTGATAGACTGCTGTGTCTGCTGCCTGCCTGGGATGGATGGATGGATGGATGGATGGATGGAAGGAAGGAAGGAAAAGAAACTTTTAAGTATCTTGACAGCCCACAATACAAGGAATGGGGACAGTTGGGTTTGGTGAGATACAAGATGTCTAAGTCATACTCATTCTGAATAGTTGTTTTGCTTTGACCAGCCTTTCCTGAAGACAACTCTTGTTCACAGCAAGAGCTAATGGTCAAAGGTGGCCGTGAGCCCTTGGGAAGACACGGTTTTGGCAACCATACGGGCATTTTGTGGCCTGCTGTCTTGGCCCCAATATTCTAGCTAAACTTCTTTTTCACCAGTTTCTTTCTCCTCCCTGCCCCCAAGTCCCTTGTTCTTCATAGCCTTAAAAAGAAAAGGAAAAAAACCCCAACACAATACACTAAGAGACTAAACCTATCAAAAAAATGAAGAAAAGACCCTGTCCAGAGAGAGAAGCAGAAATGGTGGTGAAGAGAGAAAATAGCAGTAGCACTGACTGAGACTTGTCAGGTCAACTGCCACTTGTGGAAATCCACATGTATAAAATACAGAGAGAGTTTGGAGCATGCTCTTCCATTCTGAACTGTCAGGTATATCATCAGACTGAATGATGGCTGGAGCTCTTCAGCATAAGAGACATAGGGAAGCTGGCTTATTATACGGTCCTTCTCGGTCAGCATTTGTTGGTAATGACTGGCAGCAGCCGTCCTGCGTTTCAGGCAGGGGTCCTTCCCAGCTGGGGGTTGAACCCAAGACCTTCTGCATACAGATCAAGATGCTCTGCCTCTGAACCACAGCCCTTCATCAGGTTTGGTCACCTCTGCTACTGTAGCTCCATTGCTCTGACACAACAGAGCAAGGGCTGTATCGCAGAATATCAATATACAGCCGAATGTAAATTTCCCACAGTGCCCCAAAAAGGGTAGTCACATGGTGCCGGACTACAGCTCCCATCAACCTACAGCTCTCAGGGAAGATGAGCGCTGTAGACTCAAGAAATCTGAGGACCACCACGTTAGCTACATTTGCCCCCAGAGCACTGCGGGGACTAAACAGTAGCTCCTAAACCAATTGCCTAGGGATGCCGAGAGCAGATCCCGGGTGAACATGCCATGAAATTGATCACGGAGACTTTACCCCTCAAAAACTCATTCCCGCTCCCCAAAACCAAGGACCCTTTGCTGTCTCTTTTAAGCACGATAAACCTAAATCTTGTTAAGCCAGATTTTGTGTGTGGTTCAAGATATTTTAAGTCTTCCGCAGCTCATTAACCCTAGGAGGAGGAAGGATGTTTCCTGTACTGGCCCAGCTTTTCAAGAGTTTTTTTTTTTTTGCATCACCCACAATTTGCCCTTTTGTTTATAAAGCTGGTGTAGTTGCTAAGATCAGTTTGCTGCCTACCATTTAGAAAGTTGGCTGCTTTTTAAGTAGGCAGCTTGGAAGGCAACATGGTGTTTCTAAGAGAGCTGAGGCACCGCTTAACTCTTTGTGTGTGTGTTTTAATTGCTGAGCAAATAGAAGGGGAAAGGTTCGAAGCTGCGCGTGAGTCGCTAGTGCTGAGCAATGTCATCTGTTGCGCCTCCAGCCTGCAACTTTTTTATGTTGAGTCATCTTGGTATGAGTCTTGGGCACACTTGGCATGACATCATTGAAGTGCTCTGACAACAGTGCACCATGCAAAATGGGCAGGGATTCATGCTGGAAAACACACAGTGCAAACGGCACAGAAAACACACAACACAAACAGCACAGGAAGCGGCCTGGTTTGCCACTAGATCTGTGCAATTGGGCTTTTTTTTTTGGTGTTTCCCCCCCATTACTATTAAGAATCTGAACGTTGCACAGTAGCCTGCAAGAAGGTAAGCTAGGCACATTAATCATTCCCAATCTAGGATCATATATCAAATAATAGAATTGGATTAAAGTATTTTTCTCTTCCTTAATCAGCTAGCAAACGGGGTAAGGTTAGGGTATCAAGAGAGAGCTATTTCTGACCCAGTTAAAATACACTGAACTTGGTCCTGTAAACTCAGAATGCGCATGTCGGGGGCACATGATCTCACATCCTTTCTCCTCCCACAAATCCTGGTTTGCAGTCAGAGATCAAACCACTGTTGTTGTTTTAATTCAGACATAATGGGAAACTGTGGTTTGGCAAACCCTGGACATTTTTGCATTATGGTGCACGATAAGAGGGAGCATGCAGGCAGAGAGCACTTGCTCTTGGTTCTGTAAAGCATGGTTTATACGGCTGAGATATTATGTCTGAACTGGGTCTTTCTGTAAAGCATGTGGATGGGCTCACTTGCACTATCTTTCGGGAGACGCATTTATACGATGCCGATCACTTCTCTCGCTGTAGGACGCCAGTGTTTTAATTTATTGGGTTTATCTATGAATTGCTGCCATGTGGTCCATCTGTTATATGAACAGAATCCTTTGCTTTTGCAGAATTTTGCACAGTACTTGATTCGCAACAGTTCTGGACAATTGCCATACCCTCCTGGAAGTGCAGATAAGTGAAAATGTAGCTGTGCTCCAGCGCTCATCATGCGCAACATTCATGCTGCTATTTTTTTAAAAAACACACCATTAATAAGCATTAATGTAAGGCTATCAGTATAAATGAAACTTTATATTGTCCACAATTCTTTATTTGCTTGTCCATGAGTGTCATGGAACTAACGACGGAGTAGACATACACAGGACCGCACAGTTGCAGAACGACTTTGGCCACAGAGATGGCTTCCTTGACCGCTGGGGAAAGGCGTTAACAAGTAACTGCACATTATTTCTGGTGGGGATGTGAGAACTAAAGAGTTAAGTTGAAGGACTTGGTGGGGGGGGGGGAGATGGCGTCCTGAGCAGTTTAATTCATTTAAGAAACCATATACCGTATTTTTCGCTCTATAAGACGCACCAGACCACAAGACGCACCTAGTTTTTGGAGGAGGAAAACAAGAAAAAAATATTCTGAATCTCAGAAGCCAGAACAGCAAGAGGGATGGCTGTGCAGTGAAAGCAGCGATCCCTCTTGCTGTTCTGGCTTCTGGGATAGCTGCGCAGCCTGCATTCGCGCCATAAGACGCACGCACATTTCCCCTTACTTTTTAGGAGGGAAAAAGTGAGTCTTATAGAGCAAAAAATACGGTAAGTTAGGATGAGACCTTGAGGGTAGTTGATAGGACTGCCAACTTGTTTAACAGGCCCTGCTCCTGTGCTTTGCAACTGCTGCTGTAGACGTTGGCAGTTGATGATAATATGCACTCTCTCTACTGAGGCAGGAGGGGCCTGCAGAGGCTCCAGATTTCTGCATATCAAGCTGCTGTTAAAGTTACAAGAGCAGGTCAGAGCCCCCCCCCCCCACTCCAAACCCATCATTTCGCAATCCCAGCTATCCAGGATTCTGGAGGGAGCAAAGGTCATGGGAAGGGACATAGGAGCAATTCAGTGCTAAAAGCTAAGGAAGGGCAACCCTACAGAGTACAGTACATAACCACAAACGATATAATATTATCAAATCATAAATTAAGGAGCACCACATTTGCGAGTTTTAAAAATTTTTACAGCATCTTTTTTATTTTGTGTAATGAATTGCAAGCAGTCCTGTCTTCACTGTGGGAGCAGAATAATAATAATAATAATAATCACAACAGCAAATTATTATTATTTTAAAAATATACAAGTTAGAATATTTGTTGTTTTTGAAAGCACAGGGCTGTTTCAGGTATCTTTTTTTGCATCGTGAACCATGGGCTTTAGAAAGGAAGGTGGCCTCAGGACCCCAGAATGGCTTATTTTCTTGTGAAGGCCACCTGACAAATGGTAGTCATCAGAGAAAGGCAATCCTGCCTCTTTAAATGGCCACTCTCTCTGTCAGCGCATCTTGTGGGGCTGAAATGCCCTTTGTTATCACAGTCTAGACAGGACGCAGGCGGAATATTTGATTGTGTGTGTGTGTGTGTGTGTGTGTGTTAAGGTGCAGGCAGAGGGAGGGTGGAGTAGACAACTAGACAAGGGTTAGGTGAATTTGACTGGCTTCATCTACGAACGGATTGCAGTGATTTTTCTCTCCTCCCCACTTCTTATCTGGCAAACTCTGCCTGCCCTCTTTTGCTTATTTTAAAGGTGGAAGGGATGAAAAGCCAATCCTGTGTGTTTATAAAATTGTTCCATTTCTCAGAAGGAGACATTAGCGCACTGCAGCCTGCCTCCCTTTAATTGCCCTTTTTATGACTGTCTAGACATCATCCAGATACGTGTTTGCAGTGAAAAGACGTATCTCCTCCTTCTGGTTATATGATATAGTCCGAACCCTTTTCACCCATTCTCTTCTAACCCACTCCCTGGCTGTTCTTTTAAGAATGGATTTTATCCCTGTATTCCCTCCCAAGCAATCGTATGATTAGTACTGTGCACCAATTGACTGTTTCAGTTGCATTTTGGGTGCCCCCCTCGCTGTGTTTTCCTGGTGTCATGAGGGTCTTTTTTCTCCCCCACCCCCAAGCTTTTTGGAGGGGATATAGAGCTTGGAAAAAGGGCTCTCATTTGGAGTTACTTAAGCAGATCACATTTCTAAAGCTGTGTTTATATTCAAACATAGCCACTTCTTTGTAAACCCCCCTCTCTCTCCTCCTTTGCTTTCATTTTTCTGTGGCTGGTAAGAAGAATACAACTCCTCCGACCAGGTTTTAAGAATGGAGACAACAAGGAACTGTGAATGGGCTTGGGAGGGTTTTAGTTATGCAAATGAGCTGCATTAATTAGCTCTGTTGCCATAGCTGCTACTTTATTGTTTAAGAGGGGGGAGGGGGGACAGGCTGTGCTATGTCCAATTCTCCACCTCCAGAAAAAAAGGGGAGGGGTAATCACCCTTATGCCATCCCTGTTCAGGACAAAATTGCTCAGGTCATGAATGTTGTGGTTTTCCTCTGCCACGACTGAATGCATGAAATTAAGAGGTTTAGAAGGGAAAGGAGAAGAGGGAGTTAATTCATACCATAGTCATCTTAAAAGAGAGAGAGAGAATATTAAGATATCCTGGAAGCTTGTTCGCAGCAAAGCTAAGGTTACATTTGTGAAGGCTGAAGGGGTGAAGAGAGGGGATGGGTCTAGCTTTCTTAGTCTGCCATAAAAGAGGGGCTTTCTTTTCTTTCCCTCCTTGTGGGTGACTGGGGAGGGAGAGCTATTGTTGGTGTTGACCTTGCTGAAAAGCCATAAATATTTGCCTCCGCCCCCTCACCCCAACCCATCCATCCGCCTTCTGGTTTATGGTGAAAGAGGACTCCGAGGCCATGGAAATAGGAGCAACAAGAAAGCCAAATTCATGGGCGTGCGTGTAAAAGAAGTGCCCCGTTTCTGCCTTAACAGGCGTTCGATGCTACACAAGTATTGACAACTGAATTTTGGTATAATATTTCTGCTTCGAAGAGAAACCTTTGGGGTTGAGGGTGGGACGACACTTTACCTTACAGGACTCTTTTTAAAAAAAAATTGTGTTCTTGCCTTCCTGTTGCAGCCAGAAAGCACCCAAGGTGGTTTAATTTCACCTTAACTTCTTCAGAGAGACTTGGGAGGCAGTGAAAGTGTTAAGCATCTTCTCCCAGTTCTGATTATTTGATCCCTGGCACCTCCAGTATAAAAAGAAAGAAAGGAAATCATATAGCAAGTGAAATGAAGTACTTCTGCCCGAAACCCTGCAGATTCGCTGCCAGTCAGAGTAGACAGTATTGGCCCAGATGGACAAATATCGTGGCCTGGAATAAGGCAGATTCCTTATCATGTTCGCAATTTGGCTGTGCAAAATCACGTTTCTTTCATTTTGATGCTGGATAAGGTCCCCGCCACCCTTCCACACACACACTCGACATCAAAATGGCTGCTCTTTGGGGAAAGGCTGTGGCTCATCTGCCTTGCATGCAGCCGGTCCCAGGTTCAAATCCTGGCGTGTCTAGGTAGGCCTGGGAATATTCCATGTCCAAAATCCTGGAAAGTTGCTTCTGGTCAGTGTAGTAGATCAATACCGAGCAAGATTGCTTACAGTTCTGTGATTCTAACTCTGTGATCTGTAGATCTGTGTGAGGAATAAGGGTGTCCTAACAAATCTCAAAGGGACGCGGGTGGCGCTGTGGGTTAAACCACAGAGCCTAGGACTTGCTGATCAGAAGGTCGGCGGTTCGAATCCCTGCGACGGGGTGAGCTCCTGTTGCTCGGTCCCTGCTCCTGCCAACCTAGCAGTTCGAAAGCACGTCAAAGTGCAAGTAGATAAATAGGTACCGCTCCGGCGGGAAGGTAAACGGCGTTTCCGTGTGCTACTCTGGTTCGCCAGAAGCAGTTTCGTCATGCTGGCCACATGACCCGGAAGCTGTCTGCGGACAAACGCTGGCTCCCTCGGCCTATAGAGCGAGATGAGCTTCGCAACCCCAGAGTCGGCCACGACTGGACCTAATGGTCAGGGGTCCCTTTACCTTTAACAGCTCTCAGTGCCCTTTAACAAACTACATTTCCCAGGATTCTTTGCAGTGCGGGAGCCATTACTGTTTCAAAGAGGTATGATACTGCTTTAAATGCATAGTGCAGATGGGGCCTGGGCAGAACACTTGCCCTTGATACCTGGATTTCTTTATGGAGGGAGGTTCTCGTATGTAGGAACATTCAATTCTATTAGCACCATGTTCCCCACCACAATCGGAACTTGGTCTTTGATCTGCAGGCATGCTGTGATCTGTGTGCCACGCCAGAAGGACCAAGAAAATGCAGGCCTGAAGGTTCCCAGAGCTAACCTTGAATTATTATCTCCCTTCCCCCCCAACTTCATAGGATATGCTCAGAGGGACATTCATGGGTCTTCTTCCTCACCTTTTATCTACCTGGTGGAGTGTGATGGCATGCTAGTACCAGATTGCAGGAGACAAGTTTCCCTCCTTGGGCTCTCCTGGCTCAGTGCATCCTTGTTGGATAGGATATACAACAGCAGAGATAATTCAGGGTTAATTCTGTTTTTGGGTCTGCATGTCAACCAGGAAGACAGTTGAGACTTGACAGTCGATGGAGCAAGAGAGAAAAGTTGTTCTGAAGGTGGTTTACCTTGGGATGTGTAGTCAAATATGTCTCCCTGTTCTCAACTGGGCCTTAGACTCATAGAATCATATAACTGTTGGGAAAGGGTCACCTAGTCCAACCCTCTCCAGTGCAGGTATCTTAAATATGATTCTTCCCAAGTTATACCTTGCCCTTGTTCAATTTGTCATCAGTAAAGTATTGTCAGTTTCTTTCTCCCCATAACTACTTTATTCTCTGCTCATATTCCTCACCACAACTGTGCTGTTCCTTGCCTTTCTCTCTGGCCCCGATCCGCAACACTTCCAGAGGGCGAGGCCAAGCGAGGAGCAAGTTGCTGATGCTTTTCCTTGGTCCTCTTGCTGCTTCTTCGAAGGCGAAGAGGCAGAAACAGTGAGGCCAAGAAACATGAGCCGGCCCAGAAGGCTCCATGGATTGGCAGTGGGGCCCTTTTTGAGGCATGGGCCTTGACAGGTGCCCATGGAAGCACACCCCTAATGCCCACCTTGTAGAAGCCACCCTGCTGGAGGCAAGGGCGCTGATCAGTGCAAAATTGTGCTTGGTTTCTGCAGGGCTTTCTGGCGATGAAATATAAAGTTACTGCATCAGCCATCAAAGAGAAGTGCTTTCAGAAGTGCAGTTTAAAAATGTATATAAAAGTGTATAAACTTGGGACAAGGTGATAAAAAGAAAGAAAGAAAAGAAGCGGGAATTCTACCCAACGGATAGCTCTGATGTTCTGCAGCAGTAGCAAGCTCTCCATGGAATGGGGCTTGCTTTCCTTTCTCTCTCTCTCTCTTTATTATTTGGGGAGCCCAGAGCAGACAGTTTGCCAGCGAGACAGATGTGGTTGGGCAACAACAAACATCTATTTCTATAACTAGAAACAAATTTAGTAATTGCCTCTTTCAGTAGGACTTGATCAAGCAGGAAATGAAATTCCTAAATGGCAGTTAGCAGAAGTATCCTATAGCTAAACTAAAAAGAGAGAAGAGAGTGAAGCACGCTTTGTGGTCTCATGAGTTTTGGGCGGCTTGGGGGCTGGGGAAGAAGACTGCCTTCCACAAACCATGCAAGCATAGCACCAGCCTCTTATGGCATTTTATTTTATTGCTATTTAATTGAAAGCAAAAAAATAAAAAAACGTCCTTGACTTTGGAGAATGGATTCTGATGCCTCGCTTACGGATTCCATGCACTGTTGAAGAGCTTCTGCCGGGGCTGTTATTCCTTATTTATTTTAAGAAGTTACTCTACTGCAACATGTCGGCAAATTACATCTGTGTTTCCTCTACTTAGCTGACCTCACCCTAATATTCTGATCCTGCTTGGGGTATTCCCTTTGTGCGTGAAGAGCTATTAGGTGATAGAATTACCTGGAACAGTTCTCGATGGCACAAACATACTGGGTCTCGAACTGGTGACTTGAGCGACGTCCAAAAGGGGATTTGGCATGTGCTCCACCAACCCAGGGTTTGTTTTTTCAAAATGGGCAACCAGATACAAAAAGAACTCTTGGGGCAGTTAAAAAATACATGTCATGCGAAACTTGTACAGTCATACCTCAGCTCCCAAACACCTTGGGAGTCGAACGTTCTAGCTCCTGAATGATCGAAAACTGGAAGTGAGTTTTCCAGTTTTCAAATGTTCTTTTGGAAGCCAAACATCTGACGGGGCTTCCGATTGGCCGCAGGAACTTCCTGCAGCCAATCCAAAGCTGCGCTTTGGGAGTAGAACATTTCAGAAGTTTAATGGACTTCTGGAACGGATTCTATTTGACTTCCGAGGTACGACTGTACTATCCTGGGTAATGTGAAAAGTAAAATAAGTGCTCCAGGCTCCGTTAGAACCCACATGCCCCCTGGCCAAGAACAGACCTCCGTTGCTTCACTCTGCAGAGTATTCACCAGTATTTCTCAAGGAAATGTAACACTCTCTTCAAGACATCAAGGATGTCAAATGCCCAGTTCGGAAATTTTTCTCCCACTCTTATAGGCTTCTGAATGCCTTGGGATATGAAAGCGCACGTGAAGAAAATGTACAGATGTCCTGTAGCAGCCTGTTCGAAAGTTTCCATTTTTTATTTTTATTTTAAAAACCCTGCCAACACCTGGCTTTGGACATAGGAGCAAACTTCAGGGAGGCAGCCAAGCAAGTCTCCTTGTACCTATAAACTGAAGACTGTCACTTGATGCTTCCTCCCTGACCCCTACAATGCCTTCCAGGTAGGGCATATTTGCAGGAAATGTAACTAGGAGACTTGCTCTTCTTGAGTGCAGACTTTCTGTGTCTTGTTCTGCCTTTAGTTGAAAAGGAGCCACATCTGAGAGCAGGATCTGTACTAAACTGACCGCAAGCCTCCAGCCCAAGGATTGGCAGTCCAGCTTGGGTGAAAGATTCCTGTATTGCAGGGGGTTGGGCTAGATCAGGGGTCACCAACCTAAGGCCCGTGGGCCACAAGAGGCCCATGGGGGTCGTTTAACCGGCCCATGGACCCCTGCCGCCCACTCAGGGACCCCCACCGCCCACTTGGTCGGCTCCTGTGCACCATGCTAAACTGGCGCGAAGCAGAGAGTGGACCGCCATCAGCAATGCTGTCCGGCTTCCTATTGGCTGCAGGAAGCTCCTGCAGCCAATGGGAATTTGTGCACGCCTCCTCCGCACCGGAAGGAGCGCCAGAAATAGCGTTTGCGCATGCTTGCCTGTGCACACACACTCCGGCCCACTACAGCGTCTGCAGGACCGTGAACTGGCCCATGCCACAAAAACATTGCCGACCCCTGGGCTAGATGATCCTCACTGCCCCTTCCAATTCTACAATTCTATGGTTCTAGCTCTTTCTGATGTCCCAGGCAGGCAGGAAGAAGTGTCTGAGCCTGTGGTGGGCTACCATACATGGCTGGTGGATGGAATTGTGCATGATTTTTTTTGTGTGTGTGTGTGTGGTAAAGGACTACTGGACAGTTAAGTCCAGTCGAAGGTGACATTGGGGTTGTGGCGCTCATCTTGCTTTCAGGCCGAGGGAGCCAGCATTTGTCCACAGACAGCTTTCCAGGTCATGTGGCCAGCATGACTAAACCGCATCTGGTGCAACGGAACACCGTGATGGAAACCAGAGCGCCCGGAAACACCATTTACCTTCCCGCCACAGTGGTACCTATTTATCTACTTGCACTGGCGTGCTTTCGAACTGCTAGGTTGGCAAGAGCTGGGACAGAGCAACGGGAGCTCAGACCACCATTGCAGGGATTCGAACCGCTGACCTTCTGATCAGCAAGCCCAAAAAGCTCAGGGGTTTAGACCACAGCACCACCTGTGTCTCCATGTTATGGAGGGCTGGGCTACGTATAAGGAACTTTTGAAGGTGCTCCTTGACCCATCCCTACCAATCCCTGAATTTTAGGTCAGTCTTAATGCTTCATGTCTTGGCATCTTTGCCTTGGGCTTCTGGCTTCTGGAATCTCTCTTTGGTTTCGGCTTTGCATTTCCTTTCTCTTCAATGAAAATTTTGCATGAAGGGAGGGCTGGGGAAAAAACCCAACCATTGTCATTTACAAATGACTGAACATTCTTCCCCACCCATCCCCTAACCGAATCACTCCTGTTTTTATAATGGAAGTATTTGCAAAACCGAATACCATAGCCTGACCTTTTGTCATAGTAAAATTTATCACTGTTGTGGAGAGTCCAAACAGATGTATGTACGTGTGTGTCAGTGTGTAAACATTATGGAAATGCGAAAGGTGGTGAGCCACAGACCTTGCAAACAGAACACTGAAGCTTTTTGCAGTCATTTGATCCAGATAAAATTGATTGTTATGCTATGCACTGCTGCTCCTTGGTGGATGAATGAGTTGTGCTTATGATGGATCAACAGAGTTGTCTGCATTTTTGGACTTTCCTCAAGGGTATCTATTTTTATTTTGTTAAATTTGTAAGATGACCTCCTGACCTGCACCACTGCTGCTGACCTTGATGGTTGGGTGCATGAAAAGCAGCGCTTAGAAATTAGCCCAGCGCCAGGCACTTTGCACAACCATTTTGCAGGAAAGCAAAATGTCACTTGGGAAAGGATTTGAAATATTTTCCTTGAAGCTTCAATTTGTTTTATTCTAGATTGTTTTATTTGATGTTTTAATGTGTTGGAAATCACTTTGAGATTTGTTCTTTAAAACATAAATTGATATAGAAATAATAATAATAATTTAATTAATTCCACTTGCGGGGAGGATAGCACCTAGACATTCCATTGTGGTTGCCACGTTTAAGGTGCCATTTGATGATTTGATTATATACCTGAGTTTCTAACAGTGCTGAAAAGTCTGGCAGTGTGTGTGTGTGTGTGTGTGTGTGTGTGATCCCCCAAAGCAGGTTACTCCTCTAGACACCTTAAAGTATTTTGGGTTGAACTGAAAGAACTGCGAGCAGAAGGAAAATCGCCACCAATGCTGTTCCACAAACACCTGCACATGCAAGGTGTCTATAATAGCCAATTCTCATTGTCTGGTTGCACCACAAGCTGTGTGAGCACTTGTGCAAGTTCTCGCCAGAGCAGAGTAACGTTGGTGGATTTAACTTTACTTTTCTTGGGCAACGTCGTAGTGAGAGACGTGAAAACAGCTCTTGCGCCAATACAAGACTTTTTGCCTGCTTGCAAAAGGGTGTCCTTGGATCTGACCCATTTTGATACTGCTTTGTGCTACTTAGCATTGAAGCTGAGGATAAAGGTGAAATACTTGGCAGGCTAACGTTGACATACAGTAGATGTTGACTGCAAGATCCAGAGGTTAGGAGACGGGATCCCTGCCTGTCGTTCATTCCTACAAAAAGCCACATAGATTTGATTTCTGATGTTGTGACGGTTGACTCTGCCACAGATATTCTTCCATGGAAGAAAACCATTACAGAAGGGACTGGCCTCCATAGACTTTGTTTCATTCAATCGTCGAATGCTCTTAGCAGTTACACTTACCTGCAGTGTGTGTGTCTTTCTGTTTCCTACTGCTGTTTAACATTTCAGAAGTGCAGAACCGTCTGTGAACATCATAATCCTCAAAGCACCCTATACTTTGAAGTCACCCTATTGATGTAGCTGTGCTACCATTAAATAAGGACTTCCAAGAGTTGTGACCTAAGGGACTTGACCTCAAGTCAACTATGGGGCAGGTAGCGAAAATAAAGCAGGACCTTGGAAAAGGAAGAGAAGGTGCATAGGACAGAACAGGAGAAGAGGCCAAGCAATTATGGGTTCCTAATTGCACAGAGCCAACTTTTAAATATATTTTGAGGCACGTTGCTTCTCCTCATTCCCAGTACAGTGGTACCTTGGGTTACAGGCTCTTCAGGTTATGTGATTTCAGGTTGCACACTGCGCCAAACCCGGAAGTACCGGAACAGGTTACTTCTGGGTTTCCACGCATGCACAGAAGGACCGAATCGCGATCCATGCATGCGCAGACGCAGTGCTGCGGGTTGCGAACGTGCCTCCTGCACGGATCATGTTCGCAACCCGAGGTTCCACTGTACTGGTCCTTTAAGGGCCTTTACATTTCTGCTGCCTCTTTCAGTTTATATAATAAAGAAAGCTGCTCATTACATTTTTAAACTTTTTGCCTCTTCCTTTTTGCACATGTGATGGGATCGCATGATCAGCGCTGCTAGCAGAAGCTCTTAAGAGCTTGTTTGATGTTCCACCACCGCCAAAGAAAAAAGAGAAAAAAGGAGGCGGGGGAGGAGAGAAACACCTGGGGTTGCAGCAGAGAAGGGAGCGAGATCCGGTGCCACACAAGTGGAAAACTGAGATTGAAATAGAATTGGGGACAGTTCTCGCCAGTGTTCACGTCCTCTTTTGTGAGTCACGCTACAAGTGCAGCTCTAAGGATATCAGAGGTGTTGATTTTTGGGGGGTGCGGGTGGTGCTAAGCAACATTCTAAAAAAGAAAATACAGTGGTACCTCAGGTTAAGTACTTAATCCGTTCCAGAGGTCCGTTCTTAACCTGAAACTGTTCTTAACCTGAAGCCTCACTTTAGCTAATGGGGCCTCCCGCTGCTGCCGCGCCACCGGAGCCCGATTTCTGTTCTCATCCTGAAGCAAAGTTCTTAACCTGAAGCACTATTTCTGGGTTAGCGGAGTCTGTAACCTGAAGCATATGTAACCTGAAGCATATGTAACCTGAGGTACCACTGTAAGGCAATTTGAACTATGAGGGCACTCACTGTGGATTTCTGAATTCTTTAATTCCAAGACCTGGAAAAAACAGATTGTAGCTGGGGATGTGTTTGTGTGTATCTCACTGAAAACAGAAAGATAGCAAAGTTAGGGGGAAAGGTTCTAGTTCACTTCCTAGTTTTCTATTTGCAGGAAGCATGGGGGGGAGAGAGAGCATTGAAAACATGAAAAATGACAACAAGCAGCTTAAACTACAACCCAAACAAACCTTGCCTGCCCACCTGCACCAGCGTTCTTGGTGGTAATGGTCCCTTGTACGTGGGTGGCACTGTGGGTTAAACCACAGAGCCTAGGACTTGCCGATCAGAAGGTCGGCGGTTCGAATCCCCACAACAGGGTGAGCTCCCGTTGCTCGGTCCCAGCTCCTGCCAACCTAGCAGTTCGAAAGCAAGTCAAAGTGCAAGTAGATAAATAGGTATCACTCCAGCGGGAAGGTAAACGGTGTTTCCGTGCGCTGCTCTGGTTCGCCAGAAGCAGCTTAGTCATGCTGGCCACATGACCCGGAAGCTGTACGCCGGCTCCCTTGGCCAATAAAGCGAAATGAGCGCCGCAACCCCAGAGTCGGCCATGACTGGACCTAAGGGTCAGGGGTGCCTTTACCTTCACCTTTACCATCTCAGAACTTCATACGCACTCCCCGCCCCCCCGACACAGTCAAGGACACTTTCTTCCTTATCATCACTAGGATTAAGACCATGCATCTAAAATAAGGCCACAGCAAGCCCTGGCTTTTAGTTTTAGGCTTTGCTGCCCGTGACTAATGCAACAGCAAATGGTTGACCAATAATGTTTTCCGTCCGGCTTGCTTGAGAGGTAGTTACAACACAGAAACTTCTTCAGCCTAAGCCCTCTCTTATGGTGGGTGGAGGCTGTGAGATCTTTGGAAACAGCACAATGTTTCATTGCTCTGATAAAAAAAAATTGTACCGTGTTTGAAGACACCCTGAAATTCTGCAGAAGCCTATCAGGGATTTCTTGATGGCAAAACTGGCAGTAGTGGACCAATGTTCCAGCTAGCCTGCAATCACCAATATGACCCCTGAAATGTGAAGTTGCAAGTGACTGTTAGCTGTGTTCTAAGCAATGTTCTCTGTATAAGTGGAATAACAGAGGCCCTAGTCTGCCCCCCAGAAAAACCCTGCACCTTAGAACATACATACATACATACATACATAATTTTCTTTGTATGCCACCTTTCCACGGTTCACACCATGCTCAAGGTAGCTTGCAACATGGAAAAAGACCACGTAACTACAACATAACGAAAGTAGCAATAAACAACAAATAAAACATTTTAAAAAGGCACAAACAGACCAAACAATTTCCACATAGGTCAAAACAAGATCTAAAATTAAGATACAAAACGAAAACAAAAGCCAGCAGCAACAACCCCACCCAACAAAACCCACTGAACAACTCAGCCCAGGAGCCTCTGCAGTTTGCAGTGCTGGAATTCTGTGGTGAGCATTGAGCGGAGTCAGTGGTGGATATAGAAGAGTTAGAATTGGTGTAGTAAAGGTTCCCCGGGCGTGAAAAGTTTGAAAACCAATGTCTCCGAGAGTTCAAGGTTTTGTTGTTATCAGAGCAGCGCAACCAGTTCTGCTGCCGCACTAGGTGCTGAGCCTAGGGGACATCACAGGGCAATGCAACTATGATCTAGTCTCTAGTGAATTGAACCTAACAGAAGGCGGGGGGGGGGGGACGACAACGACGACTGAATTTTGGCCTCACACAGCGCACTGCCGAAATCGGAAAGACCACGGCCGTCCCTGTTGTTATCTATCTCTCTCTCTATCTCATCTGTTGCAAAATTCTATGCTGAGTAACCATTCACTGAGCAACTTCCTAATGTTGTCTCCACAGAGTTCCAACGTTCAGCGTGGTAGGTAGATGCCAATGTGAGTAATTTACATGGCTTATTCCAGTTGTGAAATTGGCACCCGCTCTCGCCCTTCACCAACCTAGTGCTCTCGGTTAGGGCTGGTGGAAGTTGCAGTTTACTGATGGACAACTGAAGGGCGCTTTCCCAAGAGAGCCAGTTTGGTGTAGTGGGTCAGAGTTCCTGGGCTAGGAACTGGGAGACCAGGGTTCAAATTCCCACTCGGTCATGAAAATCACTGGGTGACCATGGGCCAATCACTCACTCTCAGCCTAACCTAGCTTTGTTGTGAGGATGGCATGGGGATGAGAACTATGTGACTCACCTTGAGATCCTGGGAGGAAAGGTGGGATATAAATGCAACAAATAAATAAGTTTGCCTAGAGCAGTTTTCTCCAAATTTGGTGCCCTCTAGATCAGTCGTCTCCAGAATATCTGGAAGGCACCAAGTTGGACTCAGCTTGACTCACAAATGTTCCTGACCGAGCTTTTTGCTGCCATGTAGTTTGTATCTCTCCCACCCTGCAACTCATGTATATTTTGTGAATCTTCCTCTAATCCTTTTCTCCCTCTGCTTTTCTCCCCTCTCTGCTAACTATCCAGCATAATCTTTGGAATTCAACACAGGTGTTTGTGCTTAGCTGAGAAGCTCTAGCATTCAAGCTTACCCCCACCCCGGATAGCTTCCAGCAATGCAGTCAGCAAAGGGGGGGGGGAGGAATCATACTGATGCTGATTTAGGATTACATTCTGCAGATACCTTTTGGAAAGAAACATCCTCTGAGGGTGCACCATTGGGAGGGGGAAACAGGACACTGCAGGTTTCTTCCTGGTTTTCTGTTTTGTCTCATGGGATGCTATACAAGTCTGTGCAAAGTGCCGTTTGCATCTGTGTTCCCAGAGAGACCAGGTTTTTTTCCTGTTCTTCACAAACACACACATGTATGCATGGATCTCAGCCAGTGTTGCCAGTTAGGGAAACTGCATACCTCATGCAGAACGGTATCATGGCATTGTTAGATGGTGAAATGCCTTTTGAATGGTTGTGTGGAAATGCCTGGCAGTGTGAGAAAGCCGAAAGCCCAGTTGAAAACATATCCCAGTGGTCTGGAGTTATGCTAAATAATATTTAGAGCCCTGTGAAAAGTACATAGATCTGAAGGAGGAAGTTGGAAGAGTGATATTCTTTCTCACTTCCTCTTTCACCTCTGTTGTGTTTTTCAAGGCTCATATTAATTATTATGTCCACACCCTTTGGAAAGGTGTGAAGAACGAACTTTGCATGCAATTTCTCTCTCCCTCTGCCTCTGCAGGGCAGAGGGCTTATTCACACAAGGGAGAAAAGAAGACCACAGGGTTGGAGCTCGCGGCACTCACTCAAAAATCCAAATGTGCCTACAGGCCTAAAAATGTTGGAGGCTCCTGTGCTAAGCCCTGAAAACCCAACGCTGTCCTTATCATCTCTATATGGCCTGATCCTTTGTTTTTGCTGCTCCTTCCTACTAACTTCATTGGCGTCCTGGACCCTGATTGCTTTTTCTCGCTGCTCTTTCCCAAGCCAGTTAGATCTGGTCTGCTGATGATATAATAATTGGAGAAATAGTTGCAGTTCCATAACACCGCTACCCAGTTTCCATTTCCTATGCCCAGTTTTGCCCCCACCTTGCTAAAATTTGGCCTTGCGAACACTGGGAAGTTGCTACAAATTTCCATATTTATTAGGCAAACCTCGTTCCTTGTAAAAAGTGAGTCATTTCCTGGTTTTTCAAACCCTTTCCCCAGATGAAAATAGGCCGTGCTCGGTTTGTGTTAGGCAGGAAGACTCCTGGAGAGAGCAGAGCAATGAGCCACACAGTGCAAACGGTTTGCTTCAGGGCCTGTGCGGTTGGCTGCAAGAACCCACTGAAAATATAAGGAAGGTGCAGACATGTCTTCAGAGGATGCCAGCATGGTTAATGGGCAGAGTCAGTGAAGCTACGGAAGGCAAGAAGCCTTGCTTTAAAAGGTGGGCATCTTGCATAAATGAGAACAGAAAGAAACTCTGGCAAAACAACTGTGAATTGACAATAAGGCAAGCAATTTTTGGAAGAGGATTTAATCAATCAATAAAAGCAATCAATTAAAATGCCTTTACGTATGTCAAACTGGGGACAGAGGCCATCGGGCCATGAGACAAGAAAGATGTTTGAAGGAATAGAGGGTGGCAGTGAAGAAGCCAAATTAATTTGTTGCATCACTTTTCGCTGTGGGAGATGCTCACTCCTGAACAACTTATTTTGGAGAAGGCATCTGAAGAACTAAGTCCAATTGCAGTCACATGGAGTGAAGTATTAGGACTGACAAACCAATTCACAAGTTTCTGATATGGGTAACACATACCCAAGAGTTCTCAAAAGAACGCCAACATGAGATTATCAATTTGTTTGCTTGTTTCTTTAAAAACGCAGCTTGCTACTGACTTTACCACAAGGACTGGGAGGTAAAACAGTACAGTGGTACCTCTGGTTAAGAACTTAATTCGTTCCGGAGGTCCGTTCTTAACCTGAAACTGTTCTTAATCTGAGGTACCACTTTAGCTAATGGGGCCTTCCGCCGCCGCCGTGCTGCTGCCGCACGATTTCTGTTCTCATCCTGAAGCAAAGTTCTTAATCCGAGGTACTATTTCTGGGTTAGCGGAGTCTGTAACCTGAAGCGTCTGTAACCTGAAGCATCTGTAACCCGAGGTACCACTGTACATGCAAGCCCGATCCCATTATTGCGTACTCTTGCAGGTGCGATAAAATAGCAAAAAACTTATACGTGCATGCTGCCTTCTCAGTTGATGTGCCTGCGTGGTGTGGAGGCTTTTTCAGTTTGTTCATTTGGAGGGAATGAAAGGAGTGACAGGATCTGCTCCTGAGCTAGCTGTGTCCATTAGGATGGCTGTAGGGTGCCCTGCATATCTGAAATACTATAATGGATGTGTATAAGTTGGTGGTGAGACTGCTGCTGAAATCCTCCCCTAACCACAGACTGTACTAATTCTTCCTGAACAGCCTGAAAATGGCTGAAGTTCTTGGATCAGGGAGACCTGGGCTGGGTTCTGATCCATATTCCCATGGTGCTGTGGACAGAACTGTAGCTCAGACTTAAAGCAGCTGCTGTTGACGGTCCCAGATTCAAATTTTGGCATCTCTTGAGTAGGGCTGCGGAACTCCCCTTCCCAAGTTCCTTAGACGAAGGGCGAGAAGTAATATTTGAGAGCGAGAGGAACATATTTTGTCCATTCTTTATGTCTATGAACGCTCGATGGCTACAGCATTTGAAAGCGCCTGGCTCCCCCTTGCAAAGTTATTCCTTTAAATGTCTGCTTCAATTTGGCTTGCAATTCTAAAGAAGCAGGTCCTCATTCAAATCAGGAGGAAACCTTGGCTAGGCTTGCGCTTGGAGCAGAGATAAATGAAATTGCATGCCCGGTGCAAGTCAGCCGCATGGGGGTTGGTGGTGAGAATGACAATGAGTTTCTCTCTGCCTTGTCACACAGATTGCATTGACTAACAAGATTAGATTTTCATAAATTTGAGACACTCCCCCCTCCCTCATATCTTTGTGGGCAGCCAGGAGTCCAGACATGGATGTGTCTTGCACATATTTGGTTGTTAGCCAGTAAGGGTGTGTGTCTGAGAGAAGAGGGAGGAGAGAGATTTAGTAGGGCAGAGCTTTTTTTTGCTTGCTTTTTTTTATAAAAAAAAAAGAAGGAAAAAAAGATGGTTCATGGAAGAGTGCACAGGCTTCTAGGAAGTTTGGGTTTCTCTGGGTTTCCAGAAATCCCCTGATTATTTATTTATTTTTGAAGTAATTAAGGGAGCTAGCATTGAAACAAACCATTCCCTTCCAGTATGTAGCTCGAATATTGAAACCTGGTAATGATCTCCAGAATTTGAAATGTAGCTACTCTTGCTTCTCTTCCAAAGGACCACGAAATGGTCCACAAAACTTCTTATGTGCAAGAATACCAAAGTTTCCAAAGATTCTAGAATAACAAAAAACAGATTATATTCTAAGACATTTTTTTAATAATAAAAATCAAATTCTCAAAATGTGAAATATAGGTTTCGTTTCCTAATCTTTGCCAAAATTCACCAAAATTTGAACTTGATAACATTGGGGGGGGGGCATTTTCCGTGCTATTGTGCTGATTCAGTGAACGTTCCCTGGTTTGTCAAACTGAGTTAGAGTAACTATGTGCTTTTTGCAAGTCCTCTTATGAGATACTGTACAATTAAACAGTGGTTGTGACGTTACAAATACACGATGAAAAATTCTGTCTGCTGCAGCATATCCACTGTTTGATACTGTCAATACTGTTGAGATGTTAAATACCGTCAAATGTTGGCTCCTTCTGCATGTCAGCTCTCAGAATCTTATCAAATGTGGACTGCCCTCAAAACAAAAGTTTGTTTCAGTTCTGGGATATTTTGTGTGCCAAGTGCTAATGTTAAGTGGCAGTACCTAACTGGTACCCATAAACCAAGGGCCACATTCCCTTATGGTCTGCCTTTCAGGGGGCCACATAATGGGCAGGCCAGAAGCAACAACGAGCAGAGCAACTAAAGGGAATCTTTTAACCTTTATAGGGTGAGCTAGTCCCCTATGCACATGTCTATCCAGGCAAGCAAAGAAGTATCTCTGGAGTTCAAGGACAGGCGCTCAAGGAGGGTGCCAAGCAAGGGGTGCAGCCTGGGAAGAGTCTTAAGGATCAGACAGAGACGTCTGGAGACGTCGGCAGGGCCTGAGGTTTCCCATCCCTGCCATAAAACTTAAGAGTATATCCAGGTAACATTTGCTGCCAGAATCCACAAAGGGGATTTTTGGAGAGCAAATCCATTTCAGTCCCATTCAGTTTGCACTGCATCCCCTACACACAAACGCAGAGAGACAGAGCTGTCAGACACTGCCCTCTTTCATACATCCCCATTGCCATTCCAACTGACCTTCTGCAGTGCAAAGCCCTTTTCTACTTGAGGAGACTCCCTGCATGATTTTAAAGCCTGGAGGTTCTTTAATCATGCAGAGATCCTACCTGAGTTCAGCAGGCTTCCTTCCACAGCCACCAATAAATGGAGGGCTGTGGGACTGCAGAAGGGGCTCCTAGGATGGAGAGGGTCCAATGAGTTGGTCTCCATTTCCCCCCTTCAACCATCACTGCATGGGTTTGAGAATGCAGAACAACTGAATAGGGCTAGGGCTAGTTATTATTATTTTTTGCATTAATAATTTTTGTAAAGTTGGGTCATGCACACATGCGATGTTTCGTTTGTGCATTGGCTCTTTCATCATTCTACCCAACACACCACTGGAGTTGTGATCGGTATGCTCTGCTGTTAGGTAAGAACCACATTTTCCGCAAAAGGCCGCATCAAGTCCCACTAGAATAAGGTTTGGAACCATAATTGAGAAAACTGGCTATTGCAAAAAAACAAAACACAAAACCAACTCCTGAGACAATTTGTAGGCATGCTGAAAACCCTCAGTGACCTGTCCCTAAGTTTTCACTCAGTCCTTGAAACTGATAGCACTTATGGGAGTGTGTGTGTGTGTGTGTGTGTGTGTGTGTGTGTGTGTGTGTTTAGTGGGGATATTTATCTGTAAAAGCAATCTACGCATTGCTCCCTATTCACGCTGCCCAGATTCCCAAAGCGTCTGTGTTTGTCTAGACAGAAAATACAAAGACGCAGGTTGTGTCACTCCAACACAGTGTCTGAACCTGCCTCTGAAATGTATGCAGGAGTAAAAAAAATTATGCTAAATTAAATTAGTGTGACCTTACTTTGCATTTCGAAGCCACATTTGTCCGTCGCGTAAAGCTTGGTGCATCCATCACTCTTCCCTGGGGAGAATTACAAAGGGGGGAAAATGGAATGAGGTCTCCTCTAATTGAAAAGTGACAATGATTAGGAAGCCAAATACAAAATGCATATATACGAAAAATACATAAATAGGCATGAGCAGAATGATAAATCTGTGTAGTTTGTTTCTGTTCCTCAAATGATTTTTTGGGGGGAGGCACTGTTATTGGGTTACTAGCACTACTATAGTAGTAATATATTGATCAGAGAGTAGATTTTGAGGGGTTCCTCTCCCCAAACAGGTCTGACTAGCGGACTGAATTGACCCAGTGAATTCAACTCCTCTTTACGCCTTCTCAAAAACAATACTTCGTGAACGTGAAATGCAAGAAAATATATCCATGAGCTCCTTAAGCTTTCATGTACCACTCTATCCAAGTGAGAAGGGCCTCTTGTATAGCAAAGGCCTCAATATGCCTGCTCTGTATTTGCACTGATTCTCAATTATAGAGGTGGAGACAGAGGGTCACTTTGGGGGGCGGGAAGGTGCCTGGTCTCCTGCAAGTTCTCAGCTTCTGATGAAGCTCACCTGTGCGTGTGAGTTAAAAGCTATTGATGCATAAGATATAGAAAATGAACCCCTTCTCCCTGGTTGCATGATAATTGCATAACCCCAGTCAAATGGAAGGAAGAAGAAGTGAAGGGGACAGATACCCAATGATAACTCAGGGATAGAAACTTGATCACCCAAGGTTATGGGTATGATGCTTATCAGTGCTCCTAAGCCACCTGGACCTTCAAGGTGCCTCCTTGTATGATAGGGCTGGGCGAGCGACATCTTTCTGTACCATTAAGATGATTTAATGACCTTTTAATAAACTGATTGATTAGCTGGTAGTATGTTTGTTTTCCCGTCTGATTTAATGGCTTTTGCATTACGTGCTCCTGTATTAGTTCATTTGCCAACATTTCTACTCTGATCTTTTAACTCTAAAGGAGTTTCTAGGGCTGCTAAATATTAAAACCAACAATTCCAAAACAATAACCACCTCGGTAAAACAAAAGAACAGCAGGGCATTTTAACAATGTTAAAAACACTCTTTCAAACATACCCACACACACCCAACATACCAGTCAGATTGAACAATATCAAAATACCAAAAATTTCTTGTCCAAAAAACAAAACAAAACCCCCAAACCATCTTCATCTAGTGCCCAAACAATAAGTTGGTGCTAGGTGAACCTTCCTGAGGATAGGGCACCATCACTGAAAAGTCCCTGCCTGGGAATCAGATGGAAATGGGACCTTAAGAAGGGATTCAGAAGACTTTTTAGGGGTCCTGGCAGAAAAAAATAGAGAGAGAGAAACAAACCAATATTTGTGTATTCCCACCTCATTTCCAGATTCTAGGGAAATGTACATTCAAGCTGTGGGACTTGCCAGCTGCTAGGTCCCCATAATCAACTTATATTGACATTGCTTATTCTCTTTCATAAGGCACATATTGCTCTTACTGTTACTAACGCTGACAAATGTTTTGTGGGGGGAAATACCTGGGAATATGCATCTGAAATTAGATTAGTTCTCCTCTCCCCACTTTTCTTTCCCTTGACTTTCTTTTTGACATTAAAAAAAGAGAGAGAGACCCAAGGTAATGTACAAATCACATGTACGGCGTTACAAATGTCATCAACCGAATGAACAAAACAGGCGCTTTTGTGGGAGCGGGGCAGAAAGAATGCCTGGCCCTACTTTTGGAGGGGCATTCTCTGCCCTGTGGTAAATCTTAAAACACAGACTCCCCCCTCACTCACACACACACACCCTCAGCCCCACATCCACACATGCGTTGCGCAAAATTGCATCAGTGGGAACCCTTTTCTGCTCTGGAAGAGGAGCGCTCCTAAAACAGGGCTGGTGCAGGGAGGAAGATTGCGGGGCAGGGGTTGTGCAGGACGGGGCTTGGGGCGGGCAGGGGGGGAGGCGAGCAATTCCATGGGCTCCTCTGTGAACTTCTCCGGGGCCCCCTGCGACTCTCCCACCGCAGAGCGGCCTCTTCTGGGGCTCGTGATGTGACTGTCAAAAGCTGCTTGCTTGAACTCCACCCTTGAGGCTCCCTTGTCTGTCTGCCAGAGTGCTTAAAGCTGTCTAGGATTCAGCCAACCGTACCCAGGGTGAAAGCAGTTAACACAAGGACAAGAGGATTGCGCGCGCCCCCCCAAGCTGGGCTGCTCTTACCTTTAACCCCTTATGGCTGCAGCCAAACAAAAAGGGCCCAGCGCCTCCTGCTTCCCCACCCCCCACCTCCTGGTTGTGTGGGGAAGGCTTTCTTTACAAAGGGAGCCCTTGAATGCCCCTTTCTCGCCCCCCCAAACATTCAAATGAGGTGGAGGGCCTTGCGTCTGATGGGCCTTTGTTGCTACCCTTCTCCCCCTCGCCCCCGCTGCCCCAACCTCCTTTTTTCTGGACATGTATCTCATTACAATACAAAGAAAAGCCCCCCTGCTCCTCTCCTCCACCCCTCATTTTTTTTGGGGGGGGGGGATTTAAAGGCCTCTGTTTATTTACAGGCTCTCTAGACAATTCCCTGTGGTGAGGATTGAGATGGTTGGGACAATATGCACGCCATATATATGTGTGTGTATATATATTTATATATACATACATATATATATATGCACGCTCTGCGCTCGCTGAATGGAGATTGGCGCTTTTTTCTCTCCCTTTCTGCTTCAAGCACCAAAAGCCAGCAAGAGTGGGAAGCAGCAGGGAGCCAGAGAGGAGAATTTGGATACTGTTGCTGGGTAAATTTCTATCCTCCAGCCCCCACTAAAAATTTTTGGTTCCAATGAAACTCTCGCTGGCAGCGATTGCTCTCATAGATGTTGAAGGCATTGTGGAAAACGGTAAATAAGGCTGAGTTGATGTGTGTGGTGCGTTAAGGTTGAGCTTATTTATCTTTTTTTGTTTAGTGGGGGGGTATGCGGGAAAGGGCAAGCCACCCCGCAAAATTTGGAAAGGATGGGTGCAGAGGAATGATGGGGAGCATGGCACGATACCCAGTTGCTGGCCATTTCTCTTACTGATTTTCTTCTTTAAGTAAAGTGCCTCTCGGGTTTGTTGTAGGTTTTCTGAGTTCAAGGGTTTTGGCGAAGGACGAGTTTTGTCGGTTGCGTTTGACGTATTGACTAGCAACCTTCCCTTGCAGAGAACAAGGACACTGTCATCAAGAACCTTGGTTGAGTAATCCCCAGGGTTGATTGCTGCAGTGCTTTCTACGTGGGGCTGCCCTTGAAGACTGGCGTCATATTTAGGGGACTGGCTGCTGGCAGAAGTGGGTTGGCAGAAGGTGGCAGAAGTAACACACAAACACACCTTTTTTTTATTCAGAACTGTGCTAGCCTCCTAATGATTCCCAAATGCAGTTCAAGGTGTGTCTGAGTGGGAATACATCAGAGGTCCGTAAAAATAGTGCAACTAGTTTACTTTAGACTTGGGAAGGGGGAGCAGAGCCCTTGAACTTGCCACAGATCACCTGGTAGTGCCTGGGCAACAGATGGAGCTACCTGAACTGCTCACAGTCTTTCCTCACTGTGGCGAGATAGATTGTGCTGCATATACATACAAATCGACAAGTGCAAATTTTGTTCAAATCTGCCTCCTTTTTTGTTTTGTTTTGTAAGTCTCATATAAGCCACCCCCCATCATCCCTTGTTTCTGGTAGACAGGCTTGCTTGTTTATCACATCTATATCCTGCTTTTCCTCCTAGGAGCTTAAGGCAGTGTGCATGATTCCCCCGCCAAACATGGTTTTATCCTCACAACAACCCTGAATCTAGCTCCAAGCACCTTCCAGAGGTTCCCCTCACTGCGAGAAGCAAAGTTACAGGGAGCCAGGCAGAGGGCCTTCTCAGTAGTGGCACCCACCCTGTGGAATGCCCTCCCAGCAGATGTCAAGGAGATAAAGAACTATACAGTGGTACCTCAGGTTAAGTACTTAATTCGTTCCGGAGGTCCGTACTTAACCTGAAACTGTTCTTAACCTGAAGCACCACTTTAGCTAATGGGGCCTTTTGCTGCCGCCGCACCGCCGGAGCACGATTTCTGTTCTCATCCTGAAGCAAAGTTCTTAACCTGAAGCACTATTTCTGGGTTAGTGGAGTCTGTAACCTGAAGCGTATGTAACCTGAAGCGTATGTAACCTGAGGTACCACTGTACAGCCTTTAGAAGACACCTGTAGAGAGAAGTTTACAATGTTTTAATGTTTTATTATGTTTTCCTATATGCTGGAAGTTGCCCAGAGTGGCTGGGGCAACCCAGACAGATGGGCAGGGTACTATTATTATTATTATTATTATTAGTATTAGTCAGACAGCAACTGGCCCCAGATCACCCAATGGGCTTTAAGGCTGGTTTGAAACTGGGTCTCCGCAGTCCTATGTAGCTTGACACTTTAACCAAGGACCACATTCCTCTGTGGGTAATCTGTGGAGGGCCATATGTTAATAGTTGTAGGGCCAAAGCCAGTGGTAGATGAGTCCACCAGTCCCCAGAGGCTGCTGGAGGTTCAGGAAATTAGGTTGAGGGGTTCAGGTTGCCCACCAGTGCTCTTACACAGCTGGGTGGCCTAAACCTCACAAACTGAGCACATCGCTGCAGCTCGAGGCTTTATTCTTTCATTCCTTTTTATTTGGCCAGTCGCGTTGTGTATTTTTTAAAAAGTTGTTTTATTGCTGAAACGGGTTATGGGAGATCATGGTTTTTATACAGTTGCTGTTTTATTGTTCTAATTTGTAAGCTGATTTGAGGTGTATGCTATGATACGGAAAGCAGGTTGTAAATAAATAATGTCATATCATAAAATAATATCATATCCTCCCCCTCCACTTCTCTCTCTCTCTCCCCACACACACACACACACACACACACACACACCACATTTAGCTGACAAGGCCAGATCAGGGAATATTGTTGAACCCGAACTAATTAATTCAAAGTTAAGCAAGCAAATAAAAGTTTTTACAAGGGTCTGGTTCGTGGTTATAGAAGTTCTTTGGGGCACCCTTGGGAAGAAATGCAGGAAATGTAATACTGCGGGGAATATCTAGTGGTTGGCAGAGCAGCTGTGACTCTGCAGACTCTGCTCCAAGGTAACTGGCAGGACTGGGTGGTTTGCCTCACATTTTGTTTGCTTATGCTGGCGCTGAACCACGTGTGGAAGCCAGAAGGAACTCTCACCAATCATCTTATCCCTTCCCTCCCACCTACCCCACTAAATTCAGCACTTAGCAACTAATTGCATAAAAGAAATTATAGAATCATAGAACTATAGAGTTGCAAGTGACCCTTAGAGTCATCTAGCCTCCCTCCCAACTACCCGATCCAAGGGCTTGCTCCTTTCTTGGCTAAAAACACCGTTGGAACTCAGAGCAGATTTGGGAGAGAAGAACCCCCATCTCTCCCCCCCCCTTTTTAAAGAATCGTTTCCATGGCTGCTTGTCTGTGAACATAGTTTCGGATGAAAACAGTCTGCAATGGTGTTCGATGCCTTCTCAAAAAGTGCTCCTCACCACCCCATGCCAATTTCTCCTTACCTGTTTAAGACACACCCAGCCTCCAGGTTTCAAATCTTCTAAACACCTGGCTCTCTAAATTCCCACTGCATGGCAACTGGCTGCAGTGACTCAGCGACTTGAAGAGGAAGTGTGCTCTCTGGGCGTGCTTATATAGGGTTGCCATATTTCAAGAAGAAAAAAATCCGGAAACAAAAGTTATTCGGCTTTTTTTGGGGGGGGGTTGGCATCATAGTTTGAGCATTTGGGGGCAATTACCGTCTACCCCAAAGGAGAGCAAAGAGTGATATTCTAACACACACTTCCTTGTTCAGTGGGCAAAACCCCCAGACATTTTGCTGATTTCCCAAAAAAATCCCCCAGAAGCTAATTCCGCCGTTGAAATTCCGGGAAATTCCTGACGTATGGCAACCCTAGCTTATGTGTGCCAGAACATGCGTGACACAATCTCATCTAATAATGAGATGGAGTGGAGGCAGAGCATAGCCATCATGCTTAGTAGCCATGGATATAGCCTTATTCCCCGTAAATTTGTCTGATCCTCTTTTAAAAGCCATCCAGGGAGCTCTCTAATTCATTCCACAAACCCCTTTCATCATTTTACCCAAATCCCAGAAAAAGGACCAGGTCATTTCTTCCTCCTGCGTCCTGTGATTTAAGCACGGCATCTCACAAGCCACCCCATCCTCCTAGTTTCCCAAGCAAGAAAATGGTAAAGTTCAGCGCTATTATTCTCTTGCACCTGAGCTCGCATAAGTGTAGGTAGAAGGCACTTGATGTTCCCCTGGATAAAAATACACCAAGTGGGACGAAATTTATCCATTACTCTGTTCCTGTGACTGCAGTTTGTTTTAACTGTTTTTAATACTGATTTTTGGATTGCTTTAACCCACCCTGGGACTTGATGAAGGGTGGGCTATTATACATCATTAGGTAGGTAGGTAGGTAGGTAGGTAGGTAGATGATAGATAGATAGATAGATAGATAGATAGATAGATGGATGATAGATAGAGGGAGGGAGGGAGGGAGGGAGGGAGGTAGATAGATAGATAGATAGATAGATAGATAGATAGATAGATAGATAGATAGATAGATAGATGCATTCTCTTACATGCCCTAGGCTCATCTGGCCATCACCTTCAAGCTGCCCTGAGTCTCTGGGATAAGTTGTGATGTTCACAGGGATGGCCAAAGCAGAGGGGTGAAGTATCAGTCAGTAGCCCTTTATAACAGAGGGGAAAAGCTCACCCAAAGTCCGGGGACAGGAGAAGCCGTCTGTTCTGTTTGTTGGTGGGAGAGACAAGTGAGACGGGGAGATCTGAATTTCACACACGGGATTATTATGATTATTATTATTATTATTCGCCCCCCACCTGCAACTTCTGTCCAAATAGAAGTTTGGGGTGGGAGGGGTGATTTGCAGTGGCCATGCAAGGGAAATTTACCTGTTTAATGTAATAAGGGGTCTCCCTAAGTATCTGTTTTCTGAGCCCTGGCCCTGATGAATTTGTGGCTCCACTTTTTTCCAAGAAAGGTCCTAAGTCTGGCAAATGTAGCCCATGAGGGAAAGGCTGGCTCCTCCTTTCTGCCCAAAGCACAGGTGAGCATTTTTCTCTTGCGTCCCCCCCCCCTTAATCTCTTGGCCGGCAGACAGAAAAGCGAGCTATGCAGGAATGGCACTGTGCTGTCTGCCTGGGATCGTACATCCCTCCCTGGGCTAAGCTGTTTGGGAATAATAGTCTCTATCAAATGACTGTGTTGTGTCTCTGGGATCAAATTCTATCCCTTCCAAAACCACGCCACCCTCCAAGCAAAGTGTGGGGAACTGTATCCTCAAGCTCGTGGAGCTATTCCTGCCGAAAGCTGCCTTCTCTCTCTCTCTCTTTCTCAAATGAAGTTTTAACTAGTAGCCTGTTGTTGCTTGCTCTTGTTTATTTGGTGGCTTGGATTGCATTTCTTCCTCTTCTCAACCCCCAGCCACCCCCCCTTTTTGTGTGCAATACACTTTTGTGCCAACTCAAGCCATTCAAGCTGCCACTGCCAGCTGGCTGAACTGAGCACTGAATTAAATTACGTCTGGAAGTCTGGTATGCGGATGCCACTGGGAATGGTTTGGAATCAGCGTAGGTTAAGAAAAGCCTGCGCGCTTTGTGTGTCTGTGTGTGTTTCTGTCAGCTGTGCGTCAGTCAATGGGTTTGCTCAGCGTCAATGGGAAGTTTGTGTCTGAGAAATGCCATGCGGGGTGGGGGGAGTTGGAGGGGGGGTCAGAAGGGGGTGCAAGGTATGTTTCTCGAAACTTTATGGCGGTTGCCCAATGTTTCCCTGAAAGGTATTTTAAAAACCTTTCTGCAGACTGGCTTTTTGGTAAGGCAGCAAGATTGAAGCAGTTCAAAGCACACCTGTTTTCCTTTTCTTTTTTTAAGGACTATTTTTGTTCTGGTGTGTTACAGTAATAGCGGATAGCAGAGCAAAGATTAAAGGTGGGCTTTCCCTTCTGGCAGCAAATATGGCGCCCTTTGCTGATTGCATTCCAACTTGTCTTGCAAAAGCACCTATAATCAAGTTTCTGGCAATATGCAATTTCCTTTAACTTGCCAATGATCTCTGCCAACTCCCAGGTTTTGGAGAGCTCTCATATTAGGTGTCCTCAGTGGACTCTCCTTCCTGAGTAGGTCTGTCTCCTCAGTGTTGTCTCCAAAAATCCCCAAGGTGGGGCACCTTTTGACAACAGTCTTGCAGATGACCAATTAATTTTAAAAATTCTTTACCTGATGTCTTGGCGGTGCTTGGAAATGAACTAGTAAGTGCTCTCAACTGGTTCAGGTGAGACAAAGCACGGTTGCCAGAGGACACCTGACCTGCTTCCTCACCTGCCTTGATTCCTGGTTGTTTCAGAAGACAAGAGTGGCACCTGCCTGTCATTGCAATCTAGGCAGAAGATTTGTGGTGCTTTCTCTTGCACTGGAGTACCCATGACGCAGTGTGAGACCTCCACATACCTTCCATACAAATAACACTCTCCATCAGAGCTCTTGATGCGAATCCATGCATTTCCTTTGAAAGAAATTAATTACACGTTGGCAGGCAGGAGCCTATGCAAGCCCAGTTTGGCTGAATGATTGCTACTGCCCCATTGAGCCCAGGGCAAGTCTCTGTAGGGCTCTAAGAAGCCATGCACTATGCCGACACTGCTTTCTGCAGCCTAGATTGTTGCAGCTTATGAAGAAAAGTTAGGGGCCACAGAACACAGTGTACATCTTACTAGATGCCCATTGCTTAGTCACAGTGGTTATTGTGTGTTGTAGAGAAACTGGCTTATAAATCTGCTGACTTTAGAGATGGCATGGAGTGTGCAGCTAACCAGTTTGGGCCAATTTTTGTTTGTGGCATATTTAGTTTTAAGTGTTCAGTTTTCTTTTGCCTGGCTACGGAATAACTGTACCAAAACTGAACTGACTGGATCTTCTTGGAGCCAGGTTGTAACATGGTTAGTATGAACTACCACCACCCACCCCAGTCTTGATTTGCAACCTGCTCTTATTTTTAAGCTCCACTTCAGTTTTAGCCCATGTTTTAAATGAATGAGCAAACGGTCAACGATTCGCACACCCGTTTTTGGGTTGGGAGAGATGGATGCTCCATCTTTCTCTTACTTTTGGACTGTTCTGTTCACTCATGGGACTTCTTGGCTGGTGTTTGTATCCCTTTTGCATTGCATCTCTTTCCCTTTAAGCGGATGCCTGGTGTTGACAAATGCCAAATCCACCATTAGAACCATAGGATGCTATCTTGTGCCAAGTCCAGACATTGGTCCACGTAGCTCATTTCCATCTTGCAGTAACTGGCAGTGGCTCATCAGAGTTTTGCACAGGGGTGTTCCCCAGCCGTGCCTAGAGAAGGCAGAGATGAGACCTTGTGTGCGCAAAAGCATTTGCTCTACCACGGAGCTATGGCTCTGCTGCAAATGTTGGTGGCACCTGCACTTCTCTTCTTGCTTTGTGACACAGCATCACTCAGTAGCTTTTTCTTGATTTGGTGCCTTTTCATCCCAGGATCTCAAAATAAGCGTGTTTTTTTCTTCTTGTCTCCTTTTTCCTGCAGCGGAGTTGGAGTTTGTACAGATAATCATAATCGTGGTGGTGATGATGGTCATGGTGGTCGTCATCACGTGTCTGCTGAATCACTACAAACTCTCTGCACGGTCCTTCATCAATCGGCACAGTCAAGGACGGAGGAGAGAGGAGAACCTATCATCAGTAAGTAGCCCGTGTCTGCCTCCCCGAACTCTTTCCTGCTTCTCTGCCTGGTTCATGTTGTTTGCTGTGCTCACCAGCTGACCCTGGGTGCTTTCAGAACAGCCATGGTGGGAGGACAACAACAACAACAACAAAGACTTTATTTGCGTAGCCAACAGGCCATAGTATCAAAGGACAGACACCGACAAAAGTACATTACAAATATAGTTACCGTATAATCTTATGGCCTATTAAAACCCTAGGTAAAAGCTGGATGGGAGGACTTTGACCTGGTTTTTACATCCCGCCCAATCTCACTTGGAGCGGTCCATATATAAACATACGTGGGCTGATAGTCTTGCAAACTTTTCTAATGTCCACCAGTGTGGCCAATCTATCTGGCAATGGCGTCACATGCAGCAGGGACCTGTGATACTCCTAGAAAGTTTTAGCACCCATAGGCTTGTCTGTGGCCTAAGATCAGGCCTGTGGCCCTCCCCAGTTCTCCCATGATGCTTTGCTGTCTGTTCCCCCAGCTTAGTAGAGTAGAGGCAAAACTGTACTATACTGTATACTAGGGAAGTTGCAGCACTTCCCCCTACCCTACTCCTGTATAATAATAATAATAATAATAATAATAATAATAAATATATTTTTATCCCACTGTTCTAGAGGAAAGCCCCCCAAGTTAGATAGGTAACAAAACCCAAAGCAACAATGCATTAAGATAACAGCTGAAAAATCATACTCTGCAGTATAATTCTTTTTAAAACGATAAATATACAGGTAGCAGCAGCAGCACATAAGTTCAGCGGTTCCCAAAAGTTTTCTGCCACAGACCGCTTGAAAATTGCTGAGGGTTTTGGCCGAATGCTTAATGATTTTTTGACCTGTGGTAGCAATTGCAAGTCTACGGAATTCAAACTGCCATAGGAGACTATATGGCGGACATAAGAAAAGAAGCCATAAAAATACAATTAAAAACCAATATGAATATTCAGAGCAATGGATGTGTCATCTCAAGAGGTTCCTCACCCCTGCTCTAGGCAAACCTGGTGCTGAAATGTGCCTGCAAAGCTGTGCATTCCTGGCTAGGGCAATATTTTGTTACTTTACAGCAGGCTAGACTAGGTGAAACCACCTAGTCTAGCCTGCGCAATGGGTCGGAGGTGGTGCTGTGGTCTAAACCACCGAGCCTCTTGGGCTTGCCAATTGGAAGGTCATTGGTTTGAATCCCCGTGACGGGCTGAGCTCCCGTTGCTCTGTCCCAGCTTCTGCCAGCCTAGCAGTTTGAAAGCACACCAGTGCAAATAGATAAATAAGTACCACTGCGGCAGGAAGGTAAACGACGTTTCCATGCGCTCTGGTTTCTCTCATGGTGTCCCGGAAAGCTGTCTGTGGACAAACGCCGACTCCCTTGGCCTGAAAGCGAGATGAGTGCCGCAACCCCATTGTCGCCTTTGACTGGACTTAACCATCCAGGGGTCCTTTACCTTTTACCTGACCTTGCTGCAAATGGAGGTGGTAGACTGGGGCGATACTGTGGCCTGCTGCATTCCAAACAGCAAACAGGGATTACCATTTTTGAAAGCTCACTGATAATTACTCTGCAAGATCAAACCAAGCACATCAGGGAACAAAAATACTAGTCTATCCTGCACCCAGCTGTGTGGGGAAGTTTCCCCCTGACATACACACGGTTTTTCAGCATATGCAATCTAGCCACAGAATATGATACTGAAGGAGCTTATTTGTCATGTGTCACTCCAAAGTGCAAAATCTGAAAGTAATGAAGGAGTTGCAACCTGGTTTCAGTTTCTCTCCTTTAAATAAAGGCAGTGCCTGCTTATGTTGGGTGCAGTCCTATAAGGGGCAGCAAAGCTCCCCCTAGTGGGTAAAACCAAGAGCACATGGCTTTGCAGCTCACATTATTTTATTTAGGTGGATGTATATAAACCTAATGGGACGCGGGTGGCACTGTGGGTTAAACCACAGAGCCTAGGACTTGCCAATCTGAAGGTTGGCGGTTCGAATCCCCGCAACAGGGTGAGCTCCTGTTACTCGGTCCCAGCTCCTGCCAACCTAGCAGTTCGAAAGCATGTCAAAGTGCAAGTAGATAAATAGGTACCGCTCCGGTGGGAAGGTAAATGGAGTTTTTGTGCGCTGCTCTGGTTCGCCAGAAGCAGCTTAGTCATGCTAGCCACATGACCCGGAAGCTGTACGCCAGCTCCCTCGGCCAGTAAAGCGAGATGAGCGCCACAACCCCAGAGGCGGTCACGACTGGACCTAATGGTCAGGGGTCCCTTTACCTTTATATAAACCTAAAGTGTGAATGAGTTGTGAAGTGTGAATGCACCATTCAAACACGCTTGTCAGGGAGACATGACTGGCTGCAGCTCCTTCCTGAACATATGTTTGCCTCTGTGTAATGTGCAATGTGCCCCTTCGAACAAATGTGTCGGCAGGGAGCTGTGTCCCTGTAGGTGTTGTTGGACTCCAAGTCCCATCAGTTCCTGTTGCCATGGCCAGTAAGTCTGGGATGATGGGAGTTGTAGTCCAGTAGCATCTAGAGGTCCAAAGGTTAGCTGCTGCTGCTGCCGTATTGCATTTAGGAGCCTCACATCCTTATCTCTTCAGTTGGGTCAAAAATCAAGTGTTGGGTGTTTAACAATGAAAATGAGCATGGCATCCAGATGGACTACCAGGGTCTTAGGAGTCTAGCACCATAGCTGACTGGGAAGTGGAGCAGCAGGGCCGGCCCTCCCATTAGTCAAGAGAGGCAGGTGCTGAGGGACAGGGCTGTGTGTGGCCTGCCCGGCACCCACTGAGTTTACCCTGGTGTTCTCAGCTGCCTTGTTGCCATTGTTGAAGAAATCTTCGCCTGCAGGTTGGCTTGCCTTTTGTACATGGAAGGTGGGGGAGACCGCCTTGCATTGCAGCAGCGTATCTTGGGCTGGTCCTGGGACGGTGGCAACAGAGATCTGCAACCAGTAGCAGAGGCACAAATGCCCTGGAAGTATGATTTTAGGCAGCCTTCAAATATCGTCTGCAGGGCACCATGTTGGCTAAAGAAAGAAAACGAGGCAACCAGTTGCTTTGAGCACGGATGGGCCCAGGAGGACCATTTCTTTTCGAGCCCCCAATCTCGATTTCTGGGGCATAATTTTATTTGATAGACGAGACTAAAAATCCATTAATAAATGAAGAGGCATTCTCTTGACCTTTTGCTTTTCAGCTGTGAAGAGTTTAAGGCTGGCTCTGGACATTTTAATCTGGATCCGTTTGTCCAGAATAAAAACAGTGTAAGGTTGTTGTATGCAGTAGAAGGCATATGATTATCTTAAGAGTGATGGGAGTAGATGTTTCAAAGCATCGGCTTTGGGGCTGCAGGACAGCTTGCCTCCATCCACCTCTTTCCCCGCAGTAGTGTTCAGACGTCAGCCTGAAGACTTTGGAGCGGCAGATGGCATAATGCAATGACATTGCCCACTGCTAAATTAAATATAAACCAGTGAGCATAAGGTGATGATACACTCACCACTTAGTAAATATGCCCTATGGGATGATGAAAAAATAAGCATTTGTATGTCTCGGAGTGATTCGCTCCTCTGCCCAGTGTTGTAAACTGTTATCAAGCAGACCGCTAAGCCAAGTGGAATCCCATGTGTGCAGCGCTGCCCTTGCGCATAGCACACAGATGCTGCTCTAAAGCATTTGTCCTCAACTGATGGTTTGGGATCTGCTGCTGGGACACAGCCTGACCTAAGGTGGGTCACCACAGCAGCTCAACCACCATACAAATATAGGGTAAATAAATAAATTAGTGGGTTCCCGCAACGGCATATGCGGATGAAATCTGTTTGGCAAAGATTAAGGATGACTGCTCCAAGCGGCTGTTTGCAGCGATTCCTTGCCCCCTTCTGAGCAACAGGTCCCACCCTCCCATCTTGTATGAAAATTAAGTGTTGCCGTTCGGGGCCAGTTGCCAATCCTGATGAAAGGCTGGTACAAGCCAAAGTCCAGGGCTTGTGGCCACTTCTTAGGGCAAGCTAATCCTTGAGCATTAAAAGATGCAACCATAAAACCACAGTTGTTAGCATCGGTTTATCTTGAGAGACAACGAAGTGCACCTCCCGGGGGACAAGTCAAATTGCTGGAGAATCCCAGCGCCTGCCGTGGCTGCAAAGACCAGTAACTTGCTCCTCCCTCATTGCTTTTGCTGTGTTAGCAGCACCAAAGTGACCTCTCTGGGGGCACAAGCCTGGACAGTGTGTATGGAGGTCCTGGGCTGCCCAGACAAGACTCCTCTCTTGGCCTCATTGATGTGGTCCAATGGAAAGCCGAGCAAGACGTCTGGCACCAGCTTGGCGGCAGGAGTTGTTGGAAGGAGGCGTACAAGGCGCCATCCAACCGTCTTAGGGGCTGCACTCCAGATTAGTGTAGGGTCTGCTCATTAACCTTTTCTTCTCCCGAAGATGTCCTGCAGTTACTACTACTATATAAGAGTGGGGAACCTCTGGCCTCCCAAAATGTTGCTAGCCTCAACTCCCATCTAACCCAAAGACCCCAGCCAGGGACTGTAGTCAACAGGTCCCCCATCTCCAACCTAACCATTCTATGCAAATTACATGGAGTGTGGCTAATTACTCAGAAACAAGCCCATACTGGCTTCAGCAGAATTTGCTCTCAAGTAAGGGTGCAATTAGGGATGTGGGTGGCACTGTGGGTTAAACCACAGAGCCTAGGGCTTGCCGATCAGAAGGTCGGCGGTTCAAATCCCCGCGACGGGGTGAGCTCCCGTTGCTCGGTCCCTGCTCCTGCCAACCTAGCAGTTCGAAAGCACGTCAAAGTGCAAGTAGATAAATAGGTACCGCTCCGGCAGGAAGGTAAACGGCGTTTCCGTGCACTCCTCTGGTTCTCCAGAAGCGGCTTAGTCATGCTGTCCACATGACCCGGAAGCTGTACGCCGGCTCCCTCGGCCAGTAAAGCGAGATGAGCGCCACAACCCCAGAGTCATCCGTGACTGGACCTAATGGTCAGGGGTCCCTTTACCTTTAAGGGTGCAATAGACCTGCCACTTTAGAGACCAAGTGAGGAACCAGGAAGTCCCCATTTTAAGAGCGGTAGTCTCGTAATCTGGGGAACCAGGTTCGCGTCTCCGCTCCTCCACATGCAGCTGCTGGGTGACCTTGGGCCAGTCACACTTCTTTGAAGTCTCTCAGCCCCACTCACCTCACAGAGTGTTTGTTGTGGGGGAGGAAGGGAAAGGAGAATGTTAGCCACTTTGAGACTCCTGAAGGGGAGTGAAAGGCGGGATATCAAATCCAAACTCTTCTTCTTCTTCTTCTCTTATCTCTGCCATGGAACTCACTGTGGAGATAACAGCACTACCCTGTCTTTGGAAGCGCTGCTGGAAGTGCATATTAAGTGCTTTGTAAAGCCTTTTCTTTATTCCAAATTTCCTTATGCAACTGCTGCCCCTGGCAAGGGAAGTTGCAATCTAGGTGGGTTGCGGTTTGCACCGTCTTTTTTTTTTTTAACTGGGAAATCTCACCACAAGGTTTTTTAAAAAATTTGGATCTATAATTCTGCCATGGTTGTTTGTTCTTTAAATGAAACCTTACCAAGGAAGCGAGCGAGAGAGAAAGAACAAAACAGAATAACATTTCCCTGGAAGCGTAACAATGCCCTTTTGAATTTATCTCTGTTGCTACCATCTGGAGATGCATTTATACGTGTGCCTCTAATTTTTCTTTCGTGTGGTTTTTGTGCTTTCTGATTTAAAAGTAGACCGTAAGATCCAGGGGTACTTGACAAGTTCCCTAACTACACACAGCAGCCTCCTGAAATATGGCCGGTTTATTAGTTACATCACCCAAATGGTGCAAGTCAATTAATATTCCATATGAAACCGGCATTGGTTATCTTTCACTCCAGAGTAGCCTCGTATCTTATGTGTGACGTTTTTGAGACAAGATTTCCTATGAAAACAGAAGGAAGGGGGAAGCATCTGGAGCAACATCTCATTTCCCTATAAATCACTTCTGGCCTCCTCTTCTGGTTGCAGCATGCCTTGTCTGCAGAGCTGGGAACAAAAATACAACAACGCAGAGTGGATTTGTTAAGGGGTTGAGGACCCCCTTTTCAGCTCAAGGGCTGCAACCTCTGCGGTGGCAATCCCTTGCAGGCTGCATAGTAATGGTTGGTGCAGCCAGAAGCAAATGTGTGCAGAGCGATGGATCTGACTATAATAGGCCGCGCTCTGGTCACACGAAAGACCGAAGATTCTTGAGCCACCTCCTGTGAATTTCGCTTCTTCTGTTTAATCCATTCTTGCATCCCCCTGCCCCCGTCCCCTGCCAAAAAGGATTTTTGTGAAAATAAATATTGCATTGGGATTTCTGGGCAACTTTCCCATCACCTTTAAGATGATTTTGATAGTATTCCATGGCCTCTGCTTCCAAGCAGGCTTCCCACCCCAATCTGATTTCTTTTTGACTGCTGGCATTCCAAGGGGCAGCAAGCCAAAGCAAGGCGAAATTGGAATAGATGGTTCAGCCAATAATTTAGAGGTGTCACCAGGCAAGCTATGGTTCTCTCAACTTCTCTCTCCCATGCAAACTCCTGCTACTTAAGATACTGCCTGATGGTTCATGTAGTTCTGTAATGCCTATCTGCTTGCAGCAGATTTTCAGTTTTTAATCATGATCCTTTTGCAGCCCTATCTGGCGATGCTAAGGATGGATGGAACTTGGTACTACTCACATGCAAAATAGTGTGCTCTTCCAGTGAAATACAGTACTTTCCCCAATATGAGGACCATCTTATTTAAAAGGAGGTTATCATAGTGCTCTTGCCTCCCAAGGCTGTTGTAAACATCACTGACATAATGTGTTGTAGTTGTTTAGTCATTTAGTCGTGTCCGACTCTTCGTGACCCCATGGACCAGAGCACGCCAGGCACTCCTGTCTTCCACTGTCTCCCTCAGTTTGGTCAAACTCATGCTGGTAGCTTCGAGAACACTGTCCAACCATCTCGTCCTCTGTCGTCCCCTTCTCCTTGTGCCCTCCATCTTTCCCAACATCAGGGTCTTTTCCAGGGAGTCTTCTCTTCTCATGAGGTGGCCAAAGTATTGGAGCCTCAGCTTCAGGATCTGTCCTTCCGGTGAGCACTCAGGGCTGATTTCCTTCAGAATGGATGCGTTTGATCTTCTTGCAGTCCATGGGACTCTCAAGAGTCTCCTCCAGCACCATAATTCAAAAGCATCAATTCTTCGGCGATCAGCCTTCTTTATGGTCCAGCTCTCACTTCCATACATCACTACTGGGAAAACCATAGCTTTAACTATACGGACCTTTGTTGGCAAGGTGATGTCTAAACTCTTGACATTTGCACCCTGGCTTTGCCGCCTACCACTGGAAAGGCTGTGCCTCCTGTCTTTCAAGAAGAACACCCACTCTCGGCCTAACCTACCTCACAGGGATGTTGTGAGAATGAAATAGGGGAGGAGAAGCATACGGCAAAGGGGAGACCAACCTTGCCCTGTCAACTAACCACTGAAGAAGCAGCTGTTTTCTTCTTCCCTCCTCAGTCTTTTTCCATTTGTATCATGCCTGTTAGATTGCGAACAGGTTGTGAGCCAGCAGGTAGCAATTCTGCTATTTTTTTTCCCTTATTCTTATTATTGTTTACATAATACAACCTTAAGTACATCATAAGTTTTCATTCTTATATTTCTCTGACTTCCCATAACCCTTGATAATAATTTATTTCTTATACCCCGCCCATCCAAGCTTCCTGAAACAGGCTGCCTTCAGATGTCTGTGAGAAGTTATATAGTTGTTTAACTCTTTGACATCTGCCGGGAGGGCGTTCCACAGGGCGGGTGCAGCTACCGAAAAGGCCTTCTGCCTGGTTCCCTGTAGTTTCACTTTTCCAGGCCTTATAACCTGGATAGCTCAGTTGGGAAGAGGGTGGTGCTGATAAGGTTGCAGGTTTGATCCCCGTACGGGACAGCTGCATATTCCTGTATTGCAGGGGGTTGGACTGGATGATCCTCAGGGTCCCTTCCAACTCCCCGATTCTGTGATTCTAATGAGGGATCCTCCAGAAGGCCCTCAGAGCTGGGCCCCAGTGTTCAGGCTGAACGATGGGGGTGGAGACGCTCCTTCGGATCATACATGTGCAGCTCTTCGAAACTGTTAGGCTCTTTGGAAGTTGCCGTTGTTACTAGCAATCGTTAATAAGTTTGAGCAGGGTGGGGGAGCAGCGTTTCTCAGTAGGAATTATCCAACCTTTTCCTGTTCTTTCCCATTTTAGGAAGGAAGCTTGTGGCCTTCAGAAAGCACAGTGTCGGGAAATGGAGTAACAGAGGTAAGTAGCATGGTGTCAGGGCTGGAGTCAGAGGCAAGTCAGCACAGTTGCCAGTGAAGTTTGCTCTTTATGCAAGGAATTTGCATACAGTGGTACCTCGGGTTAAGAACTTAATTAGTTCTGGAGGTCCGTTCTTAACCTGAAACCGTTCTTAACCTGAGGTACCACTTTAGCTAATGGGGCCTCCTGCTGCCGCCACCACGTAATTTCTGTTCTCACCCTGAGGTAAAGTTCTTAACCCGAGGTACTATTTCTGGGTTAGCGGAGGCTGTAACCTGAAGCATCTGTAACCCGAGGTACCACTGTATTTCTCCGGGTAGTTCTGGGGAAATCTTGCTGGACCTCCCATCGTCCCTGATGGCTGCCTATGCTGGCTGGGGCCAAGGGGAAGGAAAATCCATGATGTTTTTCGGTACAGTTGTACCTTGGAAGTTGAACAGAATCTGTTCTGGAACGTTCACCTTCCAAAGTGTGGCTTCTGATTGGCTGCAGGAAGCTCTTGCAGCCAATCGGAAGCCGTGGAAGCCCCGTCGGATGTTCAGCTTCCAAAAGAACGTTAAAAAACCGGAACACTCACTTCCGGTTTTCAATTGTTCAGGAGCTGGAACGTTCGACTCCCGAGGGATTTGGGAGCCGAGATACGACTGTATAGGCATAGATGAACCAACAACCTGGTTCCCTATGAATCAGCACCCTCTGTTCCTATTGCAGAGTCTGTAACCTGAAGCGTCTGTAACCCGAGGTACCACTGTACAGCTAGCTCAGCAACCCTTCACAATTCCCAACACAATTCTTGCAGCTGCCAAGACTGAAGGTCCCCCCCTTCTACCCTGTCTAAGGCTCCACATTTCCCAGATGTTTCCCAAGCAGCCTCAAACTGTGTCTGTCCACCTCTGGTCTCTGTTCTGCCCTTCTTGTTCCCCATGATGTTCTTTGAGACCAGTAGGAGAGGGAGTCCTTGGGTTCTGCAGCAGCCTCTTTATCTGTCTCCTCTGCTTCAGCCTCTGAGTCTGAACTGCTGCCTGTCACCGGCTCTCCCTGCTCACTAAACCCTGTTGCCCCTTCAGCACCCAGCCCCTCCTCCCAATCTTCTCCCTCTGATCTCTCCTCATTGTCCTACCACCAACCCACTGGCTCTGAGCCTTCCCCCTCTGGGGGTTCCCCTGGGGCTTCCCACCACTCCCCTTCACCCAGCCTGTGCACGACACACAGTCAAAACTTAGCAGAGGCCAGATTTTGTGGGCTCGCACATGGAACGCGCCGCTTACGCCCGTCTCCCTTCTTGTCTCCAGCAGCAGGTCTACACGCCGAGGCCTACGGACCGGCTTGCCGTCCCGTCCTTCTTGCAAAGGGACCGCTTCAACAGATTCCAGCCGACGTACCCTTACATGCAGCACGAGATCGACTTGCCGCCCACCATCTCTCTGTCGGACGGGGAGGAGCCCCCGCCTTACCAGGGGCCGTGCACACTGCAGCTCCGAGACCCGGAGCAGCAAATGGAACTCAACAGGGAGTCTGTCCGGGCGCCTCCCAACCGAACCATCTTTGACAGCGACCTGATAGACAGCTCGGTTTACGGGGGGCCCCGGCCCCCCAGCAGCAACTCTGGCATCAGCGCCACCTGCTACGGGAGCAGCGGCCGGATGGAAGGGCCGCCCCCCACGTACAGCGAGGTGATTGGTCACTTCCCCGGCTCGACCTTTTACCAGCACCAACAGAACAGCGGCGGGGTGACCGCCATACTGGAGGGAGGCAGGCTCCACCCTTCATCGCAGTTCGGCAGCCTTGAGAGCACAACAATGTGGAACAAAGAGAAAGAGAAGCAAAAAGGGCACCCCTTTTAAAAAAGAGCGAGAGAAAGAGAATGATATTAAACACTCTGCACTTGTTAACCGGGGTGGGGTGGGGGGTCGGGGGGGGGGAGATATCGAGAGGCGGAGGCGCTGTGTATGAAACCCAACGCCCGTCTCCATATAAATATTTACATGTTTATGTTTGGTCTCAATGCACAAGCCAACCAAGCTTGCAAAACATTTCTTTGTTGAGTTCTGTCTAGAAAGGTTTTTTGGGGGGGGGGGTATGTGTTCTGTTTTGTTTTTTTAAGAGAAAAATACCCAATCCTTTTTCTCTGCACCCCCCCCCGCACCCCACCTGCCACCTTTTGCGCCTCCCCCAGCCCCCATTTTGTTTCTAGTTGAGCTGCGTGTTTCGGCGCTACAATATTTTTGTTGTTGTTGTTTATTTCACTTAACTTTAAAAGACAAAAATATTTGCACAAAAACATTTGTTTAAAGATCTGCAATATATATATATATATATAAATATAAATATAAATATATATTAAAAAAATAAGAGAAACTGTATGTGTGTTGGGGAAGCAGGTATTTTTATATTAGAAGAGACTATTGATGAGGGGGGAAAGAAGAAAAAAAGTTTTTGTTGTGTTTTTTTCTGAACTAGAATTAAAAAAAAATGGCAATTTTTGTGAGGCAACTCAAAAGAGCATGTATTACATTGTAAAAAAAAGCGAAACAAAAAACAAACAAAAAAAGCAGGGGTTTAGAGTTATTTATATAAATGTTGAAATTTTGCACTATTTTTTAATATAAATGTGTCAGTGCTTGTGTTGGTCTAAAGCCTCTTATCACATCTACCACAAAACTGTTAAGGGAAACATGTTTATAACAGGGCAATTCTGTATGCTTCTACTCAGAAGTAAGCTCCACTGAGTTGAATGGGACTTACTCCCAGGTAAATGTGTATAGGGTTGCAGCGGAAGTAAGGACTAAAAAAGAGAAATTGAGGGAGGGAATGCCTGTAAAACTAAAGCCACAGACCAGTAAGGAACATCATGTGAAGACTGCATCTTGTACATTTTCCTACTTTCCTATTTTTGCTCTCCATAGTCACTCGACCACGTCTCAAACCTGATCATCACATCTATGATGCCTGACTACAGGTGTCATCAAGATACCTGACTGCAGAATGTGCACGGAACTGTATCCGTTCTGAAGGGTGTTTAATGCATGTGTATAAACTACCCTTTCTTTTCTGGTATGGTATGATTTCGACTTAAAAGGAAAGAGGTCATTTATACATTCATGTATACATCTTTCAAAATTGGACACAGTTTCCCTTCTTTTTGCACTCAGGTGTCTGTTCCCAGGGATGTTAAGTCAGCGCAAGATTCCACTCTTGTACATTCCCTTGGAAATAAAGACTTTTTAAAAGAAAAAATCAACAAATAAAATATTGACTGTGCATTTGTTTGGCCATTTATGGTTATTGGAAGCATGGCAAAAAAATATATTTTTAAAAAACAAAGTTTGGAGCTTGCCCTGACAAAGCGTTAGCTCTGCATGATTTCACGGTTGCCCTGGTACAAGATTTGTCTGGCTCTCATTGATATGGAGATAGCTACACATATTGTACAGGCCCTGCCGGCAAATGCAGAACTAAGGCCAAAATTTAAAAGGGTGGGGAACCCCTGCTTTGAGCAATGCTAAGAAGAGCGCAGACATCGTGTTCTTTAAACAGAGTTTTGCAAAGCCAAGACCTTGAGAGAGCAATTTAAACGGCCCCTTCTACTGCTACCGTCTCACTAACTTCAGGATGACTATAAAAGCATAAGTGGTCGCTAAAATGCCTTCTTTTTAGTGATCAGGTGATGACTTCTAATTGTTGGGGTTATTTCCCCTGCCCCCCAAACCAATCTGGCTCTCTTTGTCAGTTAAGGCAATAAAAGCAGGGCGATCCCACAGACCTGCCTTATGGATCAGTTGTTTATAATGCTCTGGTTTGGGACAGCTCCATTTTCCATAAAGTTTTTGAATAAACTCTTAAAAGAAGGTTGACCAGATGGGGAAGGATAAGGTCCCTGTGCACTTAACACTTGTGTAAATGAAGAGGAGGGCCGAACAGGTGCAGTTTGCTCTGTCGGGGCAAGAATATGGGTCCATTGACACCCCTTCTGTTTACACAAGTATTAACATTGCAAGAGTCTTGTCTTCCTTTGCTCCCAGTTTTTTGGGCCTGCAGAACCACCCACTCGCCCCAAGCCAAATGCCACTCCCCAGCTATGTGGTGATCCAAGCGTATAAAAACTCTCAGCTGGTTTCCTCGACCATGGGTAGGCAAACGAAGGCCCGGGGGCCGGATCTGGCCCAATCGGCTTCTAAATCCAGTCCGCGGACGGTCCAGGAATCAGCGTGTTTTTACATGAGTAGAATGTGTGCTTTTTAAAAAAAGGCATCTCGTGAGTTATTTGTGGGGCATAGGAATTCGTTCATTCCACACACACACACCCAAAAAATATAGTCCGGCCCCCCACAAGGTCTGAGGGACAGTGGACTGGCCCTCTATCCATGTGCCCCACCTGCAGACAGAAAGATGAGGGCAGCCATTTTGGCAGGCCTTGCTCAGCTTCCTCTAGTCATTAACTGTGCTTTATTTATTCTAGATAAATTGGTTCTGATTTGGGCCGGGGCTGGGAGTGGGTCGTGGACAAATGTAGATGGAAAAATGTTGACTCCTGTGATGTATTAAAGGCTAAAGAGTTGTGCTTAATGCTTGAGAAGCAAAACTTTTACCTCTTCCGAAAGTTGGCCTTCGCTCAAAACCTAACCATTGCAACATCCTTCTGTGTCAAGGTTCTGCTCGCTAATCCTCCTTCGAAACAGCTCATGTCATCATTATCTTTTCTTTTCGAGTGTTGTCTCGTTCTCTTGTTTCATAAAGCATTTTGTCTTACAACGCTATTGTTTACATTTTTTTATATTGTATAAAAAAAAGACCTGATCAGTTGCTTTAACCTTCATGGTGAATTTGTACGTTGACTGTGCGAGAGAGTGAGAGTGAGAGACGTAAATTATGGAGAGAAAGAGGAAGAAATAGATGCATGTATAAGGGAACAAAACGCTTTTTTCCTATCTTGTGCGTAGATTTTAATCTATTGCTGCAAAGGTTGCCAACTCTACGGAAACAAACCAGCCTGGCCTGTTCTTCTGTCTTTAACAGTAGCACGATGGTGAGAAATTAGCAAGTGGAGCTTTCCTCCCCGCCCCCAAACTCTACGGAGACACAAACATGATCATTGTCATGTCTGGTTTAGCAGTGGCTATTAGGCACGACACGTAGTATGCTACTAAATATCAGTTGATGCCTTCACATCGTGCTTGGAGGCATCTAATTTGGTCACTTTGGGAAGCTGGACGAGGCGGAACAGGTTCTGCTCTTTTGGTCTCGTGTTCTTAGCTGCTGATAAAGGCACAGCTGCAATGGCCAGTTGAAAAGTTGGCAACCTTCACGCCTACACAGTTCCACCAAGCTGGGAGGAATGCAAGAGCTCCGTGTTGGAGTAATAGGGAATGGTTAGAAGAGGGAACTGTACCAAGTGACCATTTTTTATTTTGTTTTTTACAAGGAGGTGTAATTTTGCTTTCTGCCAGATGCTAACTAGTAAGGTAACATAAATGAAAGATATAAAGGCAATAACTCTTGTTTTTATGCGACTTTTCTATTACTTGAAGAAGAAAAAAGAAGGGGGGGAGGAAACAGCAATCCTGCAGCCAACCAGAGAACAGTTTTTAAAGTTCTGACCATTTGCAACACTATTTATATATATTTTAAAAAGGACAATAGAGACAACTAAGAGATGAACTTGAAGTTTTCACCATTTTTAAGGAATTTTTGTGCTTTTTTTGTTTTTGCCTAGCGATAGGTTCCTGGACCTTTATTATTATTATTATTATTATTATTATTATTATTATTATTATTTACAGCATTGTAACCTGCCTTTCCCACCCATAGTTCCTTGACGATAGCTTTATGACACCTGCGATTTACCTTTTTTTTTTTATAAAGTGAACTAAAAGGAATAAATATCGCTTCCTACGAAAGGTACAAAGTATATGAATTTATAGAAGTTCTTTTTTAAAAAAGAAAAAAAGTATCTTTCCTTTATGTAACATGTCTATTTAGTGCCTTATTAAAAAGAAAACAGTAAACCTCCCTTTCTGAAGAAATAAATTAGAAAAGGGGGGGGGGAGAGGGAGGAATCCAATCATTGCTAGTGATAGGAAACTCCCAGGGTTTGGTCACTTCCCTTTTTTAGATCCCTGGTTTCCCTAGTTACTTGTTTTTTCTGAAAGGGGGGGTACCACTTCTTTGAACTTGTACCCGTGACCCCCCCCCCAAGACCCAGTCTGATGTGCCTAGCTGCTTAAGGTGCTCCCTTCCTGTCGTCTTCTGCCGCCTCTTTCCTTGGGACTGTTTGTGAGGTAACTTGAAATACATTGTATGCACATATCCTACTCCAGTAGGTATTAAAACTGTGGTGGATATTGCAAACCGAGAATACCAACCAAAAGACGAAACCGAAATATATATATATATATCTGCCGCCCTCTTGAGCCAAAACGAGTGACTAGTAACGTTCTGTGTCTTTTAATTGTTTGTTGGTCGTCGTCATTATTTTTTCTTCTCCGTTCTATGGTCTTAACTAGTGTGTTTGCTACAGAAAGAAAGAAAAAGAAAAAGAGAGAGATAACAAAACAGAAACAAAAACGCTTACCTCAATAGCTTTTGGGTGAATGTGCGTCACATATCTGAAAACTCTTTGCTGTATCACCGGGGTTGGTGGTTGTTAAATGTCCTCGCAGTGCCTTGTATAAAATGGGAGGAGTCTGCTATCAGAGGGGGTGCAGTGGTGGGTAGGGGGGCAGGAGGCCCACTGCTGAACTCCACCTTCAGCTGCTTGGTTCTTGCTGCTTTTACTCCTTGCCGTGTAACTGTCCTACACCTGACCTACACCAAGTAGGAGCAGTAGGGATGAGTTGCAGCTGCCCCACTAGCCTTGCCCCTCTATCTCCAAGCGGCCGGGTGGTCCGGTCCCAAAGGAAGAAGACAAACAGGGTCAGCAGTGACATTGGTGAGGAGGAGACCCCTGTTGGGGGAGGCCCACTGCCCAAAATCCTCTGTTCCACCCTTCCAAAACAAACCAACAAAAACCCTAGAGCTGGCACTGGGCTGCCAACTTTGTTCCTGGCTTTGCTCCTCTGCTTTTAACAAAAGGCTGGCGTGCATCCACAAAGGGAGAGGCTTTCCCACAATGCTCCACCCTCTTCCCTGCCTTTGTTAACTTACAACACAACACTTCTGTTGTCCACTCCCATCCCTCTTTCCACCAGTCTCTGCCTGACCAAAATAGCCGTGTGTGTGTGTGTGTGTGTGTGTGTGTGTGTGTGTTTAATGCCATCATCCCTCTTAAGCTAATCAACTTGTTGAATGGCCAGTTGTAGTTATGAAAGATAGTATTGGTCTAAGCAGGAGCCACTGGGAGAACTCCTTTTAAAACCATGGCGCTGATGGAGAGTGGTTTGATTCCTCCCCATTCCTGCTCCTTAATACCAGCAAAGGAAATGATATCCCCCCCGCCCCGTTTGCCCTTTGTTGCTATTAAGATGCAGACGGATGTGTGCTTATCCCAAGCCTCCAGGCATTCATGTACATAGCGGACATCAATGATGTTGACAACTCATCAACTTTGATCTAATGTTGCCACCTTTTACCTACCAGGGCTCCTGTGCCTTTCCAGCCTGGGTGGAAGGCAGAAAGACACGCAAGCAAACGTTTTTCCCCTGATAGCACTTCCATCCCAGGAAAAAGGTGTGCTTGTTGAGCTTCTGCCAGAAGTGAAGTTGTTACAGACCCAGGAGCCCCTCTAGGAGGAAAACGTGGCAACCTTAAGTGAATTGTGCCAATAGGAACTCAGATACAGTGGTGCCCCGCAAGACGAATGCCTCGCAAGACGGAAAAACCGCTAGACGAAAGGGTTTTCCGTTTTGAAGTTGCTTCGCAGGACGAATTCCCCTATGGGCTTGCTTCGCAAGACGAAAATACCTTGCGAGTCTTGAGATTTTTTTTTCGCTTTTACCCCCCTTTATCTAATCTGCTAAGCCTTTAATAGCCTTTAATAGCCTTTTAGCAGCTAATCCCCTAAGCCTTTAAGCCTTTAATAGCCGCTAAACAGCTGATAGCGCTAATAGCGCTAATCCGTCAATGGGCTTGCTTCGCAAGACGAAAAAACCGCTAGACGAAGACTCTTGCGGAACGGATTAATTTCGTCTTGCGAGGCACCACTGTACTAACCTGGACTGATCAAGGAATCATTCCGCCATTGGGGTTTCTCAGGTAGCTTGTTCACACTTGCTTAAGTGTTTGCAGTGAGAAATATGTCGTCCCCCTTATAATAATTACCCCCCAGTAATAGTTTTGCAATCAGATCTGCAACATGTGTACGCTGTCACTCTGGCTGTTTAAACAAGCCAAGTTCTTAGATGGTTTCTGAATGGCAAAGCTGGCTTCCCCATTTGCCAGTTTTACAGAAATTCTGCTAGGAATCTTGAAAGCATTGATGACACACTTGTGCACAGCGGATTGTATGTAGTCAGTATTAATCATAATTCTATTCTTGCCCCCATAACTCAAAGGGAGATCTGTCGGCCTTCATAAAAACAGAGTGACGGACCTTCACTGATAAAAAAAATAGATGGAAGGACACACCTTCATTGATGAAAGCTATGTTTTTGCGCCTGACTAAATGAGTGAAGACATGAGCCCCAGAAAAGACCTTAAAAAACAAAAATTATGGGGAGAAAACAAAGCCACACTTATAGTTGACAAATTCCTTTCTAACTGCTAGAAGCGTGAAGAGCCAGTAGATCTGGAGGGGGTTTTTTGTGCTGTACTTCTACAGTAGAGCAAAGAGAATTCTTAAAAACCAGTTCCACCAAAATATTATGTACTGAAGTATGAATGCATATTTGAAAATAATAACGGCAGGTTACAAGTGGTTCTTAGGTAGTCCAGTTTCTTTTTCATGATTCCTGCTTTCAACTCTTGTAATCGTTGGGTTTAGAAATTTGATCCACAATTCACTTAAGAATAAGGATGGTCATAGGTAAGAATTAAAAAAAAGTCAATATTGTTCTGAGAACATGGTTCTTTCTTTTTAGTACATCTGAATCTCTCTTCAAAATTGCACTAAATGCTATGTTTAACGGAAAGAAAAAACCCACCCTTTTTTCTCTCTTGAGTTGAATTAAAGAAGCCAGAATTGTAGCGTAAACATACTAGCCAAGAACAGACTTAATTTGTATTCTCTGGTATGATCTGTGTGGCACTCAGATATATATATAGACTTATACTTCTCCCGTGTACTACACAAAACAAAAGGGGTTGGAGAGGAAAAAACAAAAATTTCCATAAACTGCTTTTTTCAATTTTTTGCTGTAATATAGAAGCTCATGAAGGACTACATTAAAAGTCCTAATTTGCCTGCCTTATAGTCACATTTCATTGTATTTTAATATTTTCTTCAATTTCCAGTTGGATTGCTTTTGGCTTTGGAGTTTGTTATAGGCAGTCCTGTATCCTGAATTTTTTTTTCTTCAGATAAAAAAAAACTTATGTAAACTATAGACAGCACATGCAATGCAGTACTTATCTATATTTTGCTGTTTTAGTATGAATATGTACTCTGATGCCAATTTCCACAACTCCGTTGTAAAACGCTTCTTGTGTAACAGTAACCGATGGTGGCAATGATATGTCATTCTATTCTTTAAAAGCTGCAATACTTAAAACAATAAATTTTACAATACTTTGGATTGCTTGTTTTCATCTTTTTGCTTTGTTTAACACGAATATATTATGTCTTGGAAACGCAACACACAGATTTTGAAAAAGGAAGGGGAAAACCCTCTATTTGGGTCTTTGCATTCATTTTTTTAAAAGAAGAAGAAGAAGAAGAAGAAGAAGAAGAAGCGGAGGAGTTTGAATTTGATATCCCGCCTTTCACTCCCCTTCAGGAGTCTCAAAGCGGCTAACACTCTCCTTTCCCTTCCTCCCCCACAACAAACACTCTGTCAGGTGAGTGGGGCTGAGAGACTTCAGAGAAGAGTGACTGGCCCAAGGTCACCCAGCAGCTGTATGTGGAGGAGCGGGGAAGCGAACCCGGTTCCCCAGATTACAAGACTACCGCTCTCAACCACTACACCACAATTTTTGAGCGAAGCCTTCTCAAAAATTAACAATTTATGACAAAGTGTGTGGGTTTTTCTTCAATTAAATTAATCTCATTCCTGGAATATGTGTGTGTGTGTGTGTGTGTGTGTGTGTGTGTGTGTGTGCTTTTGCACACACATGCAGATGAAGTACCGTATTTATTTTCTTTTGAACAAAAGAAATATTCCTGATTTGCGTTATTGCATCAAATGTATACATGTCACAACCCTGCCTCAAATAACGGTTTCAGATTGACTGACGTCCTAAGCACAGATCACCCGAGACTTTCTTTTCCTCTCTGAAGCTGTGGTCGAATTGCAGTGATCACATTGAAGTTAAGATTGAAAAACTCAACTGTTTGCAGGGTTTTCTTGAAATGTCTTTTTGGATTTTCTCAGACCACCTGGACATGCCTCCCACTCTATATGCATACTGTTCACAGTGAGTAGTTCTAGGGTCAGTGCTGAAATACCTAAGACTGGCCTCAGAGACCTGCCTTGTGCATCTGCAGTAGGTATGACTGGGCCGGCGGGAACAAGGGCCTTTTTAGTGGTGGCTCCCTTCTTATTAAGCTTCATTCTGTTCCCTTTCACTTAGGTTTCTTTCTTCAATCTTTCTTTGGTGGTTGGTATGGTCTTAAACTTCTTTCACTGTTAGCGTAATGGTAGCAGATGATGCATAGCTTGAATGTAATTACGATATAGGCTGTTTTTGTTTTTGTACTGCTTTCCAAACATGTATAATGTGCTCGTGGTTTTAATGACCGGATTGGTAATGTTTAATTTTATTGCTGTTTTTGAGCCACTGATGGTTGTCACCAATGTTAGTTCTACTCAGGAGTAGAACCATTTAAAATTAGTGGGCATGACTTGCTTGGGTACATTAATTTGAGTGGATCTACTCTCAGTTGAACTTGCTTGGATACAGCCCTTAGGAAGTATTTTGGTCCCAAAAAGCAGCATGAAAAATTACTGTAGTTGCTTTGGGTGAGAGGGCATTGGAGACTTGTGGGAGTACATCCGTTCTTAGAGTAGATCTGTGGCTTGCTGTAGGTCTCCTCTAAATGTAGATCCAATCCATGGTGTCTCTGATTTGTTTACAAGTATATAAGCAGAGCACAGTGCATTCCTCAAGAGCTCCACATTCCCCAAGTGCCTCTGTTTTGGCTATTAGCTTTTTAGCTACATCAGTTCAAACTGCAAAACTTTTTCCAAGCTGAGGCTGTATTTAAATAATAATAATAATAATAATTTAGTTTTATCAGTAGAAATTTACAATCGAACAATTTGTGTAATCATTTTGTGAGATTCTCTGAATCTTGTGACTTCCCCCCTATTCCCTACATGGGTTCTTATTACCATAATTAAGACTACGTATCAATACGTTCTCCACTATTTTCATTTTTCCAAATTATCCATAATCTCCGTTACTTTACAAGTGATTCTTATAGTCCAGCTAAAGTTTTGATTTGCTTACAATGGTCTCCTAAGTAAATTATAATTTTTCACCATTCCAAGTCCTTGTCTTCTTGGTTCCTGAGTCTCCCCATTAGTTTTGCCATTTCGGCATAGTCCAGCAGTTTGGATTGCCATTCTTCCCTCGTCGGAGTTATTGCTCCTTTCCATTTTGTGGCTAGTAGCATCCATGCAGCTGTTGTCGCATACATGAAAAGTCTTTTCTGGTCTTTTGGAATCTCAGTACCTGTAATTCCCAATTTTAAAAGCTTCTGGGTTTATTTTAGCAAAAGTTACCGGTATTTTTCCCCCAAAAAAGTTTATTATATACCATTTCCCAAAATGATTTTGTTATTTTACAAGTCCACCACATATGAAAAAAGCACCTTCTTTTTCTTTACCTGTAATTCCCAATTTAAAAAGCTTCTGGGTTTTTTTAAACAAAAGTTATTTTAAACATTTTTCAAAAGTTTATTATATACCATTTCCCAAAATGATTTTGTTATCTTACATGTCCACCACATGTGAAAAAGTACCTTCCTTTTCTTTACACTTCCAACAAATATTTGAACTATACATTTTAGATAGTTTAGTAGGGGTCAAGTACCACCGATACATCGTTTTCATATCATTTTCTTTCAGCGTACAACATGCTATAAGTTTTAAATCTATTTTCCAGAGCCTCTCCCAATCTCCCATATGTCTGCATTATGCCATAGGCCTCAGATTCCTCCTCCTGTCTTGGTGTCAACATGGGGCTCAATCTGGCACCCTCCTTACTAAAGACTAAAACTTCCACAATCCACAGGAAGTACGTTGTGTCAAAGCAAGTGTTCTTACCCCACCATTTCCCAATGCATTTCCCCATGAAAAAGTATGAACTTTGGGGGCAGTGGGTTTGTTGCACAAGACCACCAAAGCAACCCTAAAGCAGGCAGCCTCAAATTGCCAGGATGTGATTGAATCCCACCCCAAAGTAGTGGCAGTCTGGAAGAGACTCTTTGTCTGGAAACCAGGAGAGCCACTGCCAGCCCATGTAGACAGTATTTGAGATTGATGGACCCAATCGCCTGAAGCAACACAAATGCCAGCAGTTAAAACGAAACACTTCCAAACAATTTCATATATGAAAGCAATTAGAAGAATGTCATACATGATTTCAAGAGGGTGTACGGATGAAAGAAATAAACACAAATGAACATTATGATTGGTTTTCTTCTGCTTCTCAGTTTTTGGTTATCAGCACCATCGCAGCATTATTTTATACGCCGTTTCCCTA